GGAGTCGCCATGATTCTCCCACTCCAGACAGACGCAGGTTAAGATCTTTCCTGGTAAGCGAGCTCGTGGGCTACACAGATTATTAGAAATGGGTTAGATTCATATGTAAGAGCTAGCCAATAAGAGGCTACAGATAACGGGCCAGGCAGTGTTTAAAAGAATACAGTTTCCGTGTAATTATTTTGGGCATAAGCTAGCCATGTGGGCGGCCGGGTGCCGGGGATGCAGCCTCGCCACTCCTATCACTACAATTGTAAAAAGGGAGTGTGTGTATGCTTGTGTAAACACACACATGTATTCACATGCACGCACACATACACATAAGCCATGTTGTTTCTTACTTGTTTGCCTTTTGAAACAGGTCTTATTGTGTAGCCCAGGCTAACCTAGAACTTGTGATCCTCTTGTCCCCCCTTCTTTAGCACTAGGACTACAGGCCTGTATTACTATGTCTGCACTACTTCATCTTCCTCCTCCTCACCTCCATCTTCCTCCTCCTCTCCTTCATCCTCCTCTTCCTCTCCTCTCCGTCCTCCCTTTCCCCTCTCTATCATTTTCCCTTCTACTCTTCTTCTTTTTTAAAAAAAAATGGTTTATTATTTTATGTGTATGTGTGTAGGCCTGAGTGTATTGTATGTATATGTACAATGTTCATGGCTGGTCCCCTTGGAGACTAGAAGAAGGTATCAGATCCCCTAAAACTGGGGTGACAGGCAGTTGTTAGCCACTCGTGTGGATGCTGGAGCCAAACCCAGGTCCTTTGAAAGGGCAGCAAGTTCTCTAACCACCGAGCAATCTCTTCTCATACTCACTCTGTAGCCCAGGATATTATCGAGTTTGCAATCCTCTGGGACTGCAGTGTGCACCGCCACACCTGTCTCTGCTTGCAATTCCTGCACACTCTGCTGCAGGGCCATCCTTCAGCTTGGCATCTGCCACTGAAGTTAATGGTCCCAATTGTCTGTAATTCCCCAGCAAGCTTCAAGGGTGGCCCTTGCGTTCCTGCCACAGCCCTCGCTACAGAGTCCTGGCTCCTGGCTGTACCCTGACCTTGACATCTTAAAGAGGCCAGTGGGGGTAGGAGGAGGATACTACAGTGACCCAGGCTTCAAGACTGGGATGGAGGACAGGGCGGCCAGACGTCACAAAAGTGCTCAGATTCTAGGCACTGCCTGGGCAGCTGTCTGTCCTGTAACGAGGTGAGGTGAGGGCAGAACAGAGGAGTCCCTCCTGCTTCCCCCTGACTACGGAGTAGGGAACCTATTTCAAACAATCCAGGGTTGTAAAACCCAGGCCAAGGTCTGGGAATGAGGCTCAGATGTAGAGTGCTTGACTGATATGAACTTGATCCCCATACCACACACACTGGCATGGTGATCCCAGAACTCAGAGGTTCAAGGTCATTCTCAGCTACATAAAGAGTTTGAGGCCAACCTGGGCTACCCAAGACCCTATCTTAAAATGAGGTCAAGATCAAAGTAGGTCATCAGTTAAGCTCTGCAACTACCCCAATCTGGTCCAAGATCACAGGGTCAGAAACAGGACTACTGGACATGCTTGCCCCTCAGGTGATGCTGGGACTTTTTCAGGTCCAGAGTGACAGAGACAGACAAGAAGATCCAGCAGTTTGAGGCCCAGGTGGAGGCAAAGCTGGAGACAGCAGGCAGACCTATAGTCCTTGATGGGAACATCCCGCGGCAGTTGGGCAGCAGGCTGTCCATCTCTGCATCTCTGAGGCGCATGCTAAATGATGAGCTCACGTAACCCTGTTCTGTGGTCAGGTTGGAGATGGACGGCCCAGTATCCCTGTGTGACCCCCACCAACTCAGCCTCCTTCGCACTGATGTCCATCTAAGGGGTACTGGCTCCTGTGCGCTCCCACCCACTTGCCCACTGACCTCCTTCCCCTTAAGCCCACCCTAGGTACCCTAAAATGGCAGCTTTCTAAGACAATAGCTTTGGTACTGTTTTGACTCTAACACACGGTGAGAAGCACATTTAGATGTAGGTTTGTTTTGTGATAGTCTATCATCCCCAGGTTGACTGCAGATTCATTGGGCAGCTGAGGATGACCTGGAACTTCTGACCCTCCTGTCTCTAGGATTACAGATGTGCACCACTGCACCCAGGTTTCAGTGTGGAGCACCACACCTAACTGAATGCTAGGCAGGCACCCAACCAACTGAGCTAAATCCCCAGCTCCAGGATGCTGTCTGAACATAGGATGGATGAGAGAGGTGCTGGCCCTGGTGCTAGAGGCAGCTTAGCCCTTGGCTGTGCTCCTTGTGGTATTCTGGAAGATTCCTGGGGCCTGGGCTGGAGGAACTTGGAGCAGTAACTGTGAATTGCCTAGCATAGGCATGTTGGGGTCCTGTAGTATGGCTTAGCTCCGTGTACTTTGTCTGTGTGATAGACTTGCAGGGCTGAAAGTTCTAGAAAGCTTACTTTCTAGACATGCCCAGTCGCCTGAGATGTCACTCTCTCTCCTTCCCACTCGGTATTGCTTCTTTCCACTTAGCAGACCTGCCAAGGTGACACAGTTGCCCCAGATGGTGGAGATTACAGTCTGTGTCAATGCCCCTGAGGCACAGGAGAAGCAGGGGTGGGGTCTCTGAGCCCCCAAGGTGGGGAGTGTGCTGGGAGACAACCACCCATGCCTGTTCCCAACTGCCCCACAGTGTTGCTGGAGAAGAAGGAAGAGGCTGGGCTGCAGTCGGCCATCCTGGGTGTCCAGCTGCAAGTTCCCAGTGTGACAGAGCTCCACATACAGGGCCTGCTGGAGCAGCATGGCTCTGTGGGAAGCGACACCCTGAGGATCAAGTATGGCCTCCTGGGTACAGTACTCGGGTGGGGGAGGAATGCACCATGCACTGTGACCTGGGGGGCTAAGATGCCGCCTCTGCCATCCGGCTGCCATTCTGTTGGCCCTGCCGTGGATCAGACACAGCTGTTAATTAGAAACAACACAGTACATTGAGGGTTGCTCACAGTGCATTGGAGGGTTGCTCACCTGTCATTTTGAAAGCTGCATTAAGGGGCTAAGGATTTAACTCAGTTGGTAGAGTGCTTGCCCAGCTGCATGGACTAGGTTCCATCCCTAGCGTTTAATAAACCATGGTGCCACATGCTTGTAAGCCTGGCACTTAGGAGATGGAGACAGGAGAATCAGGAGTACAGGATCATCCTTGACCACATAACCAGTCAGTGGTCAACTTACTGCATGAGACCCTGTCTCCAAAAGCTAATGGGGGCGGCGGTGGCCTGATGACATGCTTGCTTAGGGTGTCTGAAGCCCTGAATCAGGCTGGAACTCACCGCTCCTCAGAGCTTGGCAGAAATGCCAGGTAGAAGGAGGCAGGGCTCTGGGCTGACCCAAACAGGTCAGACTGCCCATGAGTGCAGTCCCCACCAGAGGCTGAGGATGGAGAATGGCCCCAAGGACACCCATGAGTTGAAGCTGGTCCAAGAATTCCACTGCACACAGCTCCCGACCATCAGTCATAAAGTTTATGCCTAGGCAGAGAACTGAGGATTTCAAAGCTTACCTTCATCTTTGGAAGGGTGAGTCAGCACATGGTCACAGAGTTCTAGACTCTTTGCTGGGTTGCCTTTATGAAATCCCTATGTGTACCCAGCCTGGAGCAGAGAGCCATAGGGAAACAGCACCCGTGCTTGCCACCTTGTTGACTGGCATAGGTAACATACAACAGAAAACTGAAATCATGGAAAATATACTTGCCTGGGTGAGGTGGGAGAGCTGAACACAGGCAAGCTTGTTTGGGTAGCACTGGCAGGAAGACGTCTCTGGTCAAGGAATGTTTCCTCTGAAAATTAAAATGTAAGGTGACTTTATCCCCAAAGAATTGTGTTCTGGGCAAAGGGGGTGTTAAGTACCAAGGTCCTAGGCAGAAGACGGGGAGAGGGTGACGGTGACAGAAGGTTAGCAGAGCAGCTGGAAGGGCAAACGAAAGGGGGACAGGGATGGTGCATCTGTCTGGGGGGGGGACTGTTATTTGTTTGTGTGAAGTCTTGGAATTGTGTGAAATCAGGGCCTCTTACATGCTGGGTAAATGCTTTTCCACTGAACCACGTTGACAGATCATCTATATTAATTTACCTTCACCACCACCACCACCACCACCACCACCTTCTTCTTCTTCTTCTTCTTCTTCTTCTTCTTCTTCTTCTTCTTCTTCTTCTTCTTCTTCTCCTCCTCCTCCTCCTCCTCCTCCTCCTCCTCCTCCTCCTCCTCCTCTTCCCCTTCCTTCTCCTCTAAGAGAGATTTATTTTTCCAAGACAGGGTTTTTCTGAGTAATAGTCCTGACTGCCATGGAACTCATTCTGTAGACCAGGTTGGCCTTGAACTCACAGAGATCCACCCGCCTCTGCCTCCGGAGTGCTGGGATTAAAATGTGTGCACCACCACCAACAACAACTTGATATTTATGTGTATGGGTGTTTTGCCTTCATGTATGCCTGTGTACCATTGCATGCAGTGCCCAAGGAAGCCAGAAGAGGACATTGGATCCCCTGGGAATCAAACCTGGGTCCTATGGAAGGGAAGCCAGTGTCCTTAACCTCTGAGCCATACTCCAGCCCCTATTTTTAATTACATGTGCCTGTGTGCGTGTTTGTGCATGCGAGTGCAGTACCTGCACAGGCCAGAAGGGGGGGTTCAGATCCCCTGGAGCTGCAGTTGGTTGTGAGCCACCAGACTTGGGTGCTGAGAACTGAACTAGGGTCAGCAAGCACTTGCTCTTAACTGCTGAGCCTGTCCCCTAGCCTGTTGTTTTCTATTTTGTTATGTGTGTGCATGCGCATACACGTGTTCACACATGTGTGAGTGTATGTATGTGCAGATACTCAAGAACTCCAGAAGAGGACATCAGGTCCCTCGGAGCTGGAGTTACAGGTTTTGGTGAGCTACCTGATGAGGCTGCTAGGATTCTGGTCCTTAGAGTTGAGCAGCAGGCTCTCTTAACCACCAAGCCATCTCTCCAGCCCCTGCCTTCCCTTCTTAAAGCTGCCTTCTCCCATTGACTGTTGTCCCATGGTTCTGATGAGAGTGTGAGACTCATGACTTTAGGCTTGTTTATTCCTAGGTACCTGGTGTGTAGCAGTATACCAAGCCGCTCCTGTCCCTCAGGACAATGCATGGTGTGGAGAGGCAAATGTAGACTGGAGAGATGGCTGGGTCAGTAAAGCGCTCATCATAGAAGTATAAAAACCTGACTTTGATCCTGAAAATTCACATGGCTCAGCACCTGAGATTGCTCACTGCTGCACTTTCCTTTCCTTTCCTGTCTTTCTTCCTTCCTTCCCTTCCTCTCCCTGCCTTTCCTCCCTCCTTCCTTCCTCTCTCCTTTATCCCCCTTTCTTCTTTTCCTTCCTTCCTCCCTTTCTCCCTTCCTTCCTCCTTTCCTTCCTTCCTTTCAAGACATGGTCTCTCTATGTAGTCCTGGCTGTTCTAGAACTCCCTATGTAGACCAGGCTGGCCTCAAACTCACAGAGATCCTCCTGCCACTACCTCCAGAGTGCTGGTATTAAAGGTGTGTGCACCCAACAACTCACCATTCTTGAAGACAACACTGGTATGGGTCCCAGCACCCTTTGCTGAAAGGCCATCTAACATCTTGGGGAGGGGCGGAGGGCTCTGGGCTATGGGGTAAGCCAGGTCCAGCTGCAGCACAAACAGGGCCTGGAGCGCCTATGCTGGCAGTTGGAGGCCAGCCACGGCGACAGGAGACTCCTGCACAGATCAGCCTGACTCAGGACCAGCACTTCGCAATTACTTCCTGGAGGTGAGCTGCCACCAGAGCAGACCCAGCCTAGGAAGTATGGGGGTGCAAGACATGACCCTCTGGACTCTAGTTGCAGAGATGTTTGCAGACATCAGGCTTGGAGACGCACCTTACTCATGTCCTCCGTGTGGGCCTTTGCCAGGGATAGCATGTGCTTAGCCGAGACTTGCTTTAAACTTCCTCAGCGCCTACTTAGAGGTAAAGCGCCGGGGGGAGGGAGGGGAGGGCAGGTCTAACCTGTGAGCCCCAACTGGAGGGGAGAGTCAGGGGTGCTCTGGATTTGGAATGGGAACTGATGGGGTGCTGTGAGTGCTTTCTCCAGCTTGTACTGCAAGCCCCAGAGAGGCGGGTGGGCTGCCTCTCACGATGCATCACTTGAGCCTCCGGCAGCCCTGCGTCAAAAGCAGCACGTACCCTCAAACTGAAGCTATTCAATGGGCAGCTGCCCTTCCTGGTAGGCTTGCACTGGAAGGACACAGCCAGGGCCACCCTGTCGAGACGGAAGCTGAGAGCCAACTCGGGGGCCTCCTTAGCTAATGGCTTCTAATTTTGATCTCCAGGCTTCTCCTAGACTGCACCTTCTACCTGGAACACCTTTTCATCTGTGTGCTGGCCTCACTCAAGGCAAACCTTTCGTACATCCTGTGACACAAAGCTACCTAATGTGTCCCCTTGTCATCTTCCCCTACACCCCTCCCCCCATTTCTCTGAATCCCTCAGACCTCTTTGCTTCTTCCTCTTCTTCTCCTTCTTCTTCCTTCTCCTCCTCCTCCATCCTCCTCCTTCTTTTTGAGCTGAAGTCTTACATAGGCCAGTCAGTCTGGCCTCAAACTTCTCATATAACTGAGGATGACCCTGAACTTCTGATCCTCCTGCCTCTGCTCCCCAAGGGCTGGGATTACAGGTGTACACAACCACGCCTTAATTTTATACAAGGCTGCAGATGAGCAAGCACACTACCAACTGAGCTTCCATCCCCAGGCCCTCAAAGTGAAGTTTTCAGTAGTAAACTTATAGAAGGAGCCCTCTGCCTTTCTTCCGACCCCAAGTCTTGCTCCCGAGAGTAATTGGTTGCAGCACACCGCTCCCGCCAGCAGAAGAGACGACCCCAACAGGATTCTTCTCAGAACACACTTTATTGGAGCACTTACACTTGAGGTTGTAAAGAGGCAAAAGACCCCGTCCCCGTGAGGCAGAAGAATATATACGGTGCCAGACAAAGCCCTGACGTGTCATCAACCCAATGGCTCAGGCCAGAATGGAGTGATCGTGCTAAATTATGATTGGCTAGATCGGATGGCCAGATCGAAAGACTCCCCGCGCTGGGGTGGGGTGGGGGGGCTCGCGCGCGCATGCGCACAAGTTGTCTGTCAAGTTGCGCACAAGTTGTCTGTCAAGTTTGACGTGGAACAGCAAATGGTGCCCAGGCTCCGTGCCCCTGACATGACAGCGCCATGGTGCGCGCTACATCTCCGCGCTACAATTGGTGTGAATTATCTCAGCTTTTTTTTTAGATACACCTCAAAAACAATACAGCCTGACTGCCATGATGCCTCAGTAGGCATTCTTGGTAGATGCCTTACTAAGAATATGAGATTCCGATTCTCACAAGGGCCCTTCTCCAGATATCCACTTCTTCTCATCCTCCAGAAAGAGCTGTGTTTGCTACCACTCCGTGTTTATGTAGTGGGGCTGTGTACATGTCTTCCTGGCAGAGGTGTGTAGGTAATAGTTACAATCACCTCTTTTCATGTTTGATAAGTTTTCTGTTTTCTTCCTTCTAATTATTCCCAGGGCTTTTAGCAACTTTACCAGAATTCTCTCCAATGGCCAGGCATGTCTGAATGCTTATGGGCTTTAGTTACCTCGGAGAGTTTCCTTGAAGAGTCTTCCTGGCGCCATTGCCTCGGTCCCCTCTGCTGTCCCCTTAGGAACTCCTGCCGCTTGTCTGGGTCATGGCCCCTGTGTCTGGTACCTTTGTAATCTTTCTATGTGCTCCTTTGTTCAGATGGAACACACCTTCCATTAACTTCCAGGCAGGTGCACCTGTCCCAAATGGCTGCTATAGCAAATGGTCACTAACAGGAGGGCTTAAAAAACAGAAAGCCCAGCTGGGCGATGGTGGTGTACACCTTTAATCCCAGCACTCGAGAGGCAGAGGCAGGTGGATCTGAGTGTGAGGTTAGCCTGGTCTACAAGAGCTAGTTCCAGGACAGGCTCCAAAGCTACAGAGAAACCCTGTCTCAAAAAACCAAACCAAACCAAAACCAAAACCAGAAAGCCTTTTGTAGACCTGAAGGTCATACATCTCAAAGCGTCATCAGATTCCTGCTCTGTTGGAACCCTGAGAGCACTTCCCTGCTTTTTCATGGATTCTGGATGAGGCCGCCAATGCTTGTTCCTTGGCTTGCAGCTGTTTGATGACAATCTCCTTGTTGTTGTCACTTGTCATTCTCTGTGTGTCTCTGGGCCCACCATCCCTTCTTTTCATAGGTATGCCAGTCATATTGATCTAAGGGCCACCTCCAGGATGGCCTCATCTTAACTACAGCTCTCAGCCCAAGGTCATCGTCTGTCCTCGACAGGCCATAGCACCCTCATAAACACTCCACACTTAGCGCTTTGTCTGTTTGTTAACCAGTTACAGTTCTCAGACATGAACTTTGGAGATGACAGGGTCCTACAGCAATGTAAAAGGTTCACAGGCTTAGTAGATGGCGTTCCCTCTCCCGAGCATTGTGATCTATGCTTCATTATCTAGAAGGGAACACAGTGATGCCCAGGGTGACGTTGAGCGAGTTTAGACAGGTGTGCATGCACTGGTCCAGGTTCCTGCCAAAACTCACATTCATTTCACTCCGTAAAAGGAATTCTGGTGCCTAATCCCAGGAACCCCAGTACACAGCTGTGATGAGACTGGGAAGGGTGGCCTCTTGGTGCCTGCCAATCACTCCCTTCTTGCCCCCCACACCAGCTTCTCTCTGTGCCTTTGCAGGAGCCTTGAACTTGGAGCCCATGGCTCACAGTGTCTGCAGCTCCTCGGCTCTACTGGCCACACTGGGTCACGTTCCAGGCTGTCTCAGAGCTGACGGTGGCCAAGGCCTGGACCCTCAAAGATCAGCATGACCTGCAGGATCCAGAGCCATGGGCCAGAGCCATGATAGGAAAGCCAAGATCCTGGTGTACACTGAGCCACCACCTATCTCTGGATAAGCAATACAGGTCGTCTCATGTGTGTGCACGTGTGCGCATGTCTTTGCTAGTGCATATGCATGTGTGCACACAGCTTGGTACATTTATTGTGCTGGGGTTTTTTTGTCAACTTTACACAAATTAAACTTAATTGAGAAAATGCCTCCATCAGATTGCTAGAGGCGAGTCCATCATTCATTTTTGTAATTAGTGATTGGTGGGGGAGGTCCTAGCCCACTGTGAGTGATGCTACCCTTGGGAAGGTGGCCCTGAGTGATATAAGAAAGCAGGCAGAGCAAGCCACGAGGAGCAAGCCAGCAAGCAGCATTCCTCCAAGCCTCCTACTCCAGTTCCCATCTCCAGGGTTCATGCCTTGAGTTCCTGCCCTGACTTCCCTCAGTGATGGGGTGTGGCCCATAAGAGACTCAAAAGATGAAACAAACTCTTCCCCAAGCTGTTTTGGGCCATGACATTTTATCACAGAAACAGAAGCCCAAGGACAGTATTTGTGCATATTTGTGTACATGCTGTGTATGTGTGTCTATCTGTGCATGCACAGAGATTTGTGTATTTGTGTGTGTGCATAAGCGTGTGTGTTTGTGTATGTACATACAGGCCTGGAACAAGGGCCTCTTGTAACCCAGACAAGCCCCGTGTCCTGCTGCCTGCCCCTGTTGACACTCAACCGGGAGCTGTGCTCCCCGCCCTTGCCCTCCTCTGCACAGGGAAAATGGGAGGCCTGTGGCTGATGTCACCCCACAGACACAGGGACAGGACTCAGCCAGAGTTCTCAGAACTGTCACCAAGAGTATGTCATCTGAATAAAGACTCCATAAAGAGAATCCAGTTCCTGTGTTTCTGCTTAGCAGCTTCTGAGGGGAGAAAGTGGTCAGATGGCCCCAGAGTGACAGCTTTGAGGGCACAGCTGGCAGTACTCAGTGACTTCAGTGAAGGGTTTTTCTCCACCTGTACCGTGTTGTCACTTAGAGTGTGCCCCAGACAGTTCTGCTCCAAGCCCTCTCTGGAGCAATGCAGGACCAGGGAGAATCTAGCCCACTTCAGCCTTTGTGGGCAACACAGTCCCCTCTGGGGCGCTGAAGTCCCCTCTGGGGCAGCACTGGGAAGACAGCAGGGGTGAGTGAGTAGACAGCAGGGGTGAGTGAGTAGACAGCAGGGGTGAGTGAGTAGACAGCAGGGGTGAGTGAGTTATTCCTGATGAGCTCAGGCACTGTGAGGAGGTGACTGGGTATCAGGGATGGCCAGGGCGGGACTGTGAAGAGGAGGTGGCAGCTGGCTCCTATGGGCCACTAGCTGGTGGGGAAGGTAACTTAGAGGAACCCAGCTTCCCAGGAGGCTGGGGCTGCTCCCTAGTGGCAGTGGGTGGATTTTAAGGAAGGGGGATAAATGACACTGTGGTTTCCGCCTGAGCAGCTGGTTGGAGAAGCCAAGATGGGGAAGTTAGTAAAGCCCCATCCCAGGGTCTGGCATTTAGCTGGAGGGTCAGCATGGCCCTACCAAATTTGACCTCAAGATTGTGTGTGACAGGAACCATGGCTCTAGGGTAGAGGACACTGAGGCTTGGGCTGGGGGAGGGCCATGGTCAGGGGCCTCCTCCAGCTCCAATACAAGCCAGAGTAACACCCAGCTCCTCCAGGTTCTGGAGACTACAGGGTGATCCAGGGAACAAAAACTACTTCCCAGAATGTGCCCCTTGGATGCGGAGATGGTGTCTGCTAAGAATGGTGGCCATGCTTACAGGTGTGAGATGGAATCTCAGAGTTTTGATTTGCATTTCTCTGATGACTAAGGACGTTGAACATTTCCTTAAGTGTCTTTTAGCCATTTTAGATTCCTCTGTTGAGAGTTTTCTGTTTAGGTCTGTACTCCATTTTTTTTTTAATTGGGTTATTTGTTTTTTTGATGACCAATTTCTTGAGTTCTTTGTATATTTTGGTGATCAGTCCTCTGTCTGATGTGGGATTGGAGAAGATCTTTTCCCATTCCTAGACAACAATGAGACCCTAAAAGAGACATAGACATACATGGATCTAATCTACATGGGAAGTAGAAAAAGACAAGATCTCCTGAGTAAATTGGGAGCATGGGGACCATAGGAGAGGGTTGAAGGGGAGGGGAGAGGAAAGGAGGGGAGCAGAGAAAAATGTATAGCTCAATAAAATCAATAAAAAAATGGTGGCCCAGTGAGATAATAGTCCCACCCTAAATCAAAGAGGAGGGAGGGAGTTGTATTGCTTGGTTCAGAGTTATAGAAAGGATTTTTCTTTAGGGTCCTATAAGGAAGAACCAGCCCACGCACCTCCCTCCACTGGAGGCCATGCACAGATGGTCTTGGCTGGAGGGGCTTTGAAGGATGAATAGGAGTTCACCAAGTAGCAAAGTGAATAAAGGGTAATTAACAGGTTCAAAAACTCTGCTCATCCACCTGGCTTCCTTGCAGGTTTCCATGGTGACAACCTGGATGCCAGGCCTCTTCCACAGCAGGAGAGAGCTTGAGTCAGCCTGGAGTACAGCTGTGCCCAGTGAGGTACATGTGGAGAACAGTCAGGACAGGAAGGTCCTGCGCTGCTTGGAGAGCCTCCAAGGGGAACTCAGCCTCACGGCAGCCTACCAGCACACAAAGAAGGTGCCCCTTGCAGTTGGGAGGCCTTGGGTCCCCCTTTCCCTCTCTGTTTGGCCTGTAACCATGGGCCTCCTTGAGTGCTGATTTCTTGTAGACGCCAGGCATATTAGTGCAGACCACAGTGTGGGGAGGGGACTCAGCTTCCTTAGCCCAGAAGTTCCAGAAGCTGGTGGGTGGGAAGGATGGTTGGGAGGTAGAGGTTTGTGGTTGACCCTGAGGACCTCATGGCTGGCCAGAGGCTGCAGCGAGGCTCCATTAACTCAGGGCACAGGCAGTCAAAGGCAGCCTTCGGCCCCCTATGGCTGAGGGTCCACAGGCACCAGCAGTCATAATACAGACACGTGATTGAAATTACAGATAGCAGAAGGCAGAGTCAGGGAGACCTCTGGAGTTGGCGGCTCACTTGGCCAAATTCCAGACCAGCCAGGACTGTATGGTGAGACCCTGCATCCAAATAAAATTTAAAAATAGATAAAAATTAAAACCCTTTTAAAATCTAACAAACTGAACAGACTGCTTGGACAGTGGGCTACGGCCCATGGTCTTCGATTTGCAAAGTCTTAGCAATACATCCAAGGCTCACACTGCCTGCATGTCATTACAAGTTTGTGTCCTTGGGCCTCAGGTCCCTTCCTGTGAGGTGGGCAGCACATCCCTTTTGCACAGTGGCCACAGTGCAGGATATAATTGGTAATCTCCCCTAAGTACTTACATACCACATGTTTACAAGGCTGCCTTAGCCTCTTTCTCCTGACCCTCTCGTGGGGAGAGGGGAATCACCACAATCTCCAACAAACATTTATTGAGCACCTACTGTGTGCACACAGAATGAACTAGGAAGGAAGATGAAGCTAAGCAGGCAGTGGGGACTGAGCAGGGTCCAGGGCTTTGCTCCCCCTACGTCTGGGGGGCTATCAGTGATTTCTCCGATGCTGGCCAGTACCATCTGAGGGGAAATAGTAAATGCCAAGCCAAAGACCTGCACGGGTGGTTCCCAGTGGCTTTTCTGGGTTCCTCACCCGAGACTGTGGAGTGATGCTCCAGCAAAACAAGGGCACACGTGTGTTTTTATGGCCTGCTTACCTTAAGAATTGGGAGGTTTTAGACAAAGCCTGGATTTCTGCTGTTTATAAGAAAAGAAAAATAAGGTCTGGCTCTGCTTAGACTCAAATCCCAGCTGACAACATCTGGCCAGCAGCAGGGACTGGAGAGGCCTCCATTACTGTTCTTTTGCTGTCTGCTCTGCTCGGAGCTGTGCCTTGGCTGGGAGGCAGCTCCACGGGAGAGTGATTGCCTAGCTGTGTTCCAGCCCTGGATTCATAAAAGAACAAATGGGTTTTTCCACACACATTTTCCTCCCTAGCCGCTTCCTTTTCTGCTATCTTGGTTCCAAGAAAAACCATATTTCCTTATATAGACTGAACGATCACGGATGAGACCTGGGGGCAGACAGTCGGATTTCTCCATCAGTACAGACAGGAAGACATGAAATCAACCAGCAGCGGTATCATTGGCTTCCGTAGCCGCTGAGTGGTTGCTGAGTGAATAATTGATAACTGTGTGCTTCCTCTTGCTGGGTTACATACTGCCCCAAATGTAGCAATTTCAGACATGTCTCTCCGTCCCTGAGCTCAGACTTGCAGAGGGATCCACTGACTTAGAACTGTAGGACCAGCACCACCGCGCTCCCTGCAGAGATGCTCAGGAAGAAGCTGTCTGCACTCCGTGGCTTTCCCAAGGGCAGCAGAGTAGTTCACACTCTCCGTGTCTGACCGTGACCCTCCTGTTGTCCTCATAAAATCCTCATTTGGATGAAGACAGGAACCTGTCCCCATCTCGAGATTCCTGAATCACCTTTGTCCGGAAGGCCATGTTGCCTCAGGCTCCAGGGATAGGATGTGGGTCTTGCAGTTCCTCTGACCACTCTGTGTCCTTCTCCCATTCCAGTTCAGCTTCAACCTTGACATTTCAGGCTAGAACCAGTGATTCTGCATTTGTTTAGTACCTACTGTGTGCTGGTATCTAAGTACTAGGAAGCAGAGAAGAGAATAGACTGACTGAGCCCCAGTTTGTGGGGAGGGTCTTAACCCACCACCTTTAGCTAAGAGCACCGGCGCTGCCCTGCTGGAAGGCCCAGCATGCACCTGGCCCCATTCTCTCTTCCATGAATGCAAGAGACTAGACTACACTTTGGACATCAATCCCTGGGCCTCTTGCTTTTGGTCTCTGGATTCTGACATGGCTTCTTTTGCATGTGGACATGGTGGTGACCTCTCTCCATAGCTCTGGTTCTCACACGTTCAGGCTAAGAACAGGGAGATCGAGGCTATGTTAGAAGTCAACCAGAAAGTCATTCTGCATCTGAAGGTTTCCACCTGGGCAGCTCTCAGCATGGAGGGATCTGGCACACATGGCTTTAGATGTCACCTGTTCCTCCCAGGTGAGTGTCTCCAGGCTAGACAAATGTTACCTAGTATATGCCAAGGGGAGCCTGCTATGGGGTGCATGCCTATAATCCCAGCACTCGGGAGGGGAATCAGTATGATCAAGGGTTCGAAGTCGTCCTTAGCTGCAGCCTGAGATTGTTTACCCTGGTCATGTGAGTGCTTTCCTTTTAAACTTTTAATTTTTAAAGTTATGTACATACATATGTATATATGTATTATGTATATATTATGTATATATAGGTATATGTGTGTGTGTATGAATACACTCATGCAGCCTGTGCATGTGTAGTGGTCAGAGAACAACTTGAAAGAGTCTGTTCTCTTCTTCCACTATGTGGTTCAGAACTCAGGTCATCAGGTTTTGAGGAGAGTGACTTTACCTGCTGAGCCATCTTGACAACCTGAGACCTTTTCTAAAAAACAAAAAACCTGGAGTGTGCTGGGGAGTGGGGTGGGCCCTGCAGGAGTGAAGGGCATGCTTCCTCCTGGCTATCTCCCCAGAACCTTTACTTTAATGGTGGCTTTGACCTCACACGGCACCGACAAGGAGCATTTGACTTCAGTGTAGCAGTACGAGCTGCTGCCAACCACAACACCGCATCCCAGGCGGGCCTCTGCCCTTGCGCAAGGGAAAGGGGCCTTACTAATCCACTGCAGGGGACCAGGGCTGTGGCTCAGGTGGCAGAACACTTGCCTGTTGTACTTGAGGCCCTGGGATCCAACTCCAGCACAGCCTAACTGTGTACACCTGCAGTTCCATAGGAGGGTCAGGGGTTCAAGGCCATCCTTGGTTATGTAGAGTTTGGAGCCAGGCTGAGCTACGTGGGTCCTTTTTCCAAAAAATAAAACAGTCAGTTTCTTAGGGTTTCTGTTGCTGTGACAAAGCACCATGACCAAGTAAATTTATAAAAGAAAACATTTAATTTGGCTTGCAGGTTCAGAGGTTAGAGTCCATGAAGGTGAAGCAAAGGCATGGCCCACCTTGATCCTCAAGCAGGAAGCAGACAGGGCCTGTTAGGGAGGTTTTAAACTTTAACTTCTCCCACCCCTGACATAGGACACATCTCCTAATCCTTCCTAAACAGCCACTAACAGGAAACCAGGTATTCCAACCACCACATCCAGAAAAGGGGCCACGCATGAGGTGGCCAGGGAGCCAGAATCCCAGTCCTTGTTGTGGTGGGACGCACTGATGGGTCTCCTGACCTTATCAGGACAGCTCATTCTCGGACCACACACAGCCCAGAGCGGCCCTGTCCACACCCTCACTGCGGCCCAGCGCTGCCCTGTCAATACCGGCACCGCCAGGCCTTTCAGTAACACCCTCACCCCAGCCCCAATTCCTGGCCAGAACTCTTAGGAAATCCCACCTGGTGTGGGGAAAGCTGGGAAATGTAGTTTGGCTGTGCATCTTGGAGGAAATGAATCCCTGGGAGTAGCTGGTGGTGGTGTTTCTGCATTCATCCATCCCCTGTGCGCTCCGTGTTCTGCCTTATGCCAGCCTCTGCTAGGTGATGGGTGGTGTCTTAGGGTGTTATTGCTGTCAAGAGAGAGACACCATGACCACAGCAACTCTTTTTTTTTGGGGGGGGGGTGTTTCGAGACAGGGTTTCTCTGTAGCTTTTTGGTTCCTGTCCTGGAACTAGTTTTTGTAGACCAGGCTGGCCTCACAGAGATCCGTCTGCCTCTGCCTCCTGAGTGCTGGGATTAAAGGCATGCGCCACCGCTGCCCGGCTCACAGCAACTCTTATAAAGGAAAACATTAATTGGGGCTGGCTTACAGTTTCAGAGGTTTAGTCCATTATCGCCATGGCGGCATGTGGGCAGACACAGTGCTGGAGTGGACCTGAGAGTCCCACACTGGATCCACAGGCAGCAGAAGTGAAGACTGTACCGCACTGAGCGTAACCTGAGCATGAGACCTCAAAGCCCGCCTCCACAGTGACGCACTTCCTCCAACAAGGTCACACTTCCCAACAGTCCCCTCCCTATTAGCCAAACCTTTGAACATGAGAGTCTATGAGGGCCATTCGCATTCTAACCACCACGGAGGCCTGGGTGTCTCAGACTGTTCTCCATCACCAAGGAGCTCTGAAGCCAGTGGGTGCCCAGCTTATTCAAGTTCAGTTCCTAGCCCTGTGCTCACTGGCTGTGTGACCTAAGGTAAATCACGTAAGGCTCTGAGCCTCAGTTTTGCCAGCTGGGAAATGGGGTGGTATCACTAACCCAGCAGAGCAGTGTGAGGTTCAGGTAAGGTAATAGTCAGAGAGCCAGAAGCACAGTGCGGGATTCATGGTCAGGGTCCAGCAGGAGGCAGGGGCAACCTGCGGGGAGCTAGGAGCATCCCAACACCAGCTTAACAGCTTCGTGGCCTTGGGTTCAGCACTTCACCCTGTCCTGCCTCAGTTTTGCTAGCTGGAAAATGGGGGTGCCCATAGCTGTGTGGAGCTGGCAGCCCATGCTGTGGGTTCAGGAGTGTGGCGCTTTAGGCCCAGCAGAGGCAGCTTGAGTGGGCAGCCTTCCATTCAGAGCCATTCATTAAGGCCCTCTACACTCACGTGGGCTGAGGGTGGGTATGGATGGGGGCGGAGAACAGAGGGACATTCTGAGTTGTGTGTTCAGAATGGACATTGCCCCTTCTCTCCTTTCCTTCCTCATGTGTGCGTGTGCGTGTGTGCGTGTGTGTATGTGTATGCAAGCATGCGTGTGCATGCATGCATGTGTGTGTGTCTGTGTGTGTGCATGTGTGTGCATTTGTGTGCTACATAGTAAGCCTAGACTGGCCTTGAGCTTACTATGTAGCACAAGATGGCCTGCCTTGAACTCTGGATCCCCTTGCCTCTGCTGCCAGAGGGCTGGGATTATAGGCATGCACCACCAAACCCACTTTAGGCACCCTCCCCACTTCTAAGGAAGGGTCTTGGTATATAGTCCAGGCTGACTTGAAATAAGTAATCCTCCTATCTCATGCCCTAGGTGCTGGGGTTAGAGGCGTATGTCACCATACCTGGCTAAAGAGCCAAGTTTTGCCCATGAGGAGCCACACTGCCTGGTCTGGAACCGTACAGGCTGCCGGACCTCTGGGGAGCAGGAGGCAGTCTGGGGGCCACTGGCACTTCTGGAAATTCTTGGTCACAGCCACACATGGGAGTTCAAGTTCTCCTTTCTCTCCACCTGTGTGTCTCTCTTTTTGAGGCTAGGTCTTCCTTTGTAGCCTAGGGCTCTTCAAACTTATGATCCTCCTGCCTCAACCTCCTAAATTCTGGGATGACAGGCATATACCAGCTTAGGTGCCCTCTGCTGCTTCCTCTGCTGGAGTGAACGTGAATACTGATGCAAGCTCTGGAGCTGAGGATCAGCTAGGATTCGGATTCGGAGCTGGGGTTGGGGACGGTGACCTGGTTTCTCCTATTTGTCATCAGGGAGCCCTTGGGGTTGCCTGGGCTAGAGAGAGGCCATGCTTGCCAATGCTTGCCCTGGCTTCTGCTAACCCTTTATCACGTCCAGCTTCCTGCCTTCTCTGACTTACAGGTGCAGGCTGCCACAGTATGTCACGAGGAAGGCAGAGTGGATGTGTCACTGGCTGTGTGTGTCTGGCCATGAGTTGCTTCTGCTGGGGGTGGACACAAGCAAGCAGCATAGGAGGAGCCACTGGGGCTGGAACATGAGGGTCTCCCTCCACCAGGCTGCTCTCAGCACCCCCAGAGTCCTTCAGCTACAACTGTCCCCCATGGTCACCCCAGCAAGGTAACAGCCCCTGCGTGCCTTGAAAAAGCTTTAGGACCAAGGCTAGTGTCCTGCTTGGGAGAAGCCATCCCCACAGGCCCCTGATTCTTGAGACCACCTGGATCAGTTCTGGTGTGGTGGTCTTGGCAAGAAGGTTCTACAAGGACAGGAGGGCGGCGTGAGCTTGTCACGAACACCTTTACTCATATGCTCTGGAAACTGAAGCAGGAGGATTGTGACTTTGAGTCCAGGCAGGGCCACAGAGAGAGACCCTATCTCAACTGATGTCTTTCCTAAAAGAAGAAAACAAGTCACAAGACAGTCACAGGGACTGCCCACTGCCTCCCACTCTCCTCTCTGACTATTCACTGGAGCTCCCAGGATGCCAGGTTGTTGAGAACCTGGGGCTGGGGGCTGGGTTGGGCCCAGTACTGCTTTTCCTTCCTCTGGTGCCCAGGACCTCCAGCCTCCAGCTGTTCAGCCATTTGTCTGATTATATCCTTATCCTCACCTATAAAACGATGAGGCGGGGGCTGGTGAGAAGGCTCAGCGGTTAAGAGCACCGACTGTTCTTCCAGAGGACCTGGGTTCAATTCCCAGCACCCACATGGCAGCTCACACTGTCTGAAGATCCAGTTCCAGAGACTCTGACACTGTTACACCAATGCACATAAAATAAAGTTAGGCTAAAAACACTTGAGGTAGATTATTATGATTATTAATCTGAATCAGGGTCTCACTCTGTAGACCAGGCTGGCCTCATAGGTCCATCTGCTTCTGCCTCCCAAGTGCTGGGATTAAAGGTGTGGTCACCACACTGATTTGAGGCAGATTGTTAAACATGAGTGCACTTCTGTCATTTGTCACCACGGCAGAGCTTTTCTAGGTCAGGACCTGGAAGATCTCAGTAGAGGGCTGGACGGTGAGTAGAGGGCCAGGAGCCAGCTCAGACAGTCCCAAGTCCATTTAGTTGGAAACCCTCACAGAACCGGCACTGTAAACACAAGCAGAAACGTAAGTGTAAGCATGAGCTCCAGGCCAATCACTGCCACTTGCCTCAGTTTCCTCACTGGGTGGGGGGTATTATGGCATGGTTAGCTCTCACAGGCGCCGGCACTTGGCAGACTGTGTATGCACGGGGCAGTGTGTCATTAAGATTGACCTGTATCAATGCTAAAGTAGTAGGTCGAAGGACGGAACCACTGCAGTGTTTGCTGGTAGCCTTTGCACAATCTGTTCCCATCTGACCCAACACTCAGCCAGACCTGTGCCAGCTGGGGACCTGGGAGGGCAGGGGCCATGGAGTCACAGCCTCTCCTCCAGTTCTTTTTATCCATCAAAACCCACGTTCCAAGGCCTGCCTTGTTTGTCTCTTACTGGGGGAAGTGGTAAGAGTCCCTTGAAAAGGAGCTCAGGGAGCTGGCCTTCTGTGTGCAGAAGGGTCCCACGAGGGCTAGTAACTATCTGGGTTAGTATTTCCTTCTGATTCCCTACTGGGCCGCCAGAGAGGTCTCCATGTCGAGGACACACAGTTGAGAGTGACGGCCCTGGTGTGTGAACCCAGGCTTGCCTGACTTCAGAGCTTGTGTGGTCTGGGTGCCCAGCTTCCCTGTCTCCCTTTGCATGAAGCCCTGATAGAGCAGCCCTGCAATGACTCTCCCTGGGAACTTCCAGGAACGCCTCTTGGGGTCCATTTACCATCTCTGTGTTTGTTACATTTCCTGGAACAAACAGCTGGTTATAACAGGTAGCTATTTTGGCTCAAAGAGGTTGAGGGTGCAGTCCACACCGCAGAGTGAGCAGCCTGAAGCTGTGGAAGGACTATGAAGCTGCTTGCTAATGGCTTGGTGGATGAGGCAGCAGGGAGTGGACAGGAAGTGGGGTAACCCCTCAAAGACCCACTTCTCTACCAAGGCTCCGCCTCCCAAAGGCTCCACAGTGCTTCCTAAACAGCGCCACCTGCTGGGGACCAAGTGTTTATACATCTGAGCCTGCAGAAGACTAAGTCCCCATGCGTTCCTCCTAGGGTACAGCTGTTTTCCAAGGTGCTGCGGGATCCGGGCTCAGCACAGCTGCTCCTCGGGACATCTGAGGGGAGATGGCGAGGCTGGGTCCTCAGCCTGTGGGGCCTTGTCCTGAGCCTCAGGTGGGTGCTAAAGCAGAAGATGACATCCAGAGAAGGGGAGAGCTGAGCAACGCTGTATCAGTCAGGTTCTCAAGAGGGACAGAGCTGACAGAATGAATATATATTCATATCTATATAACTATATATAGATATATATGAGAGTTATTGGAGTGGCTTACAGGCTGCAGTCCAGCTAGCCCAACAATGGCTGTCTACCAACAGAAGGGTCAAGAATCCAGTAGTTGTTCAGTCCATGAGGCTATCCTGAAGAAGTAGGCTCTAATGAAGTGAAGAAATGGGCTTGGCATCTAGAGTGAGGGCAAGTAGGCAGGGAGCAAAAGCTTCCTTCTCTGTGTCCTTATAAGGGCTGCCAGCAGACGTGTGGCCCAGGTGTAAGGTGGGCCTTCTCACTTCAAATGATCTAATTAAGAAAAACCCTTCACAGGTGTGTCCAGCCACTTGGGTTTTAGTCTTAATCGCGTGGCCTAGAGCATCCTGGTAGAGGCTGGTGTACCACCGTCCACTCCACTAGTGTTGGCCTCGCAGTACCACTGCCCTCCCCTCCCCCACTGTTCTCTTAAGGTTGCCACTGCCTCAGTCATGCCGAGCTTCTTCCTCCAGGATAAGCACGAGGAGACAGAGGACAGCGGTTTGCACAGCGTGACCTACACCTCACCCAGAACTGCAGTCAGGCCTTAGCCACAGAGCTCCGGCTGGGGACAGTGGCAGACCTACACAGGAGTCCTCTCCGTGGGGACTTGATCAGCCTGGCCCCGCACCTGGGATCCTGGGCATCGCCAGCTTCCAGGCAGCCTGACTCACAACTTCAGCCTGCTGAATGACTCAGGTAGGAAAGATCTCAGTTGTGTGGCTTCTCCCAGACTCTGAATCCCAGATCCGAGGGCAGGGGCAAAAGAAACCCCTGCTGCCCAAAGCTGTGGTTGTGGGACAGATAGCTCCGACCCTAGTTCCCAGGGGCTGTTCTTCAGATGCCTGGAGAAGCCCAGGAAGTCTCAGCAGTGGGGGATACAGTGCCACTCCCGTCCCTTGTTCTAAGTCTTGGGCCTTTTTCTTCATGACAGGGAGCCCACAGGGGCAAACATGAGTGGAAATTGCAGTGGATTAGATGAATTTACTGCTTCAGGAAAACTGCGACACACCTGGAGTCTCTGGGGACACTGGGACTCAAGGAGTCTGTCTTGGGGCTCAGGAGTTCTACAGAATTCTAGCTCCTATTCTGACACCGCAAGCTGGATTGGGCCCTTTTCATGGTCTCCTTGCTTCCTTCCACCCATTGCCATCTGTTCTGGTGTCTTACCTGTAGGAACAGCCTTCAAGGTGGGGGTGCAAGGGACCGGAGCCCAGGAGTCTCCCAACTGCTCAGCACAGATGGAATTGTGGACTGACACCTGTCACCACGATGCCAACCTTGACACCTCAGGCCCCACCATACCAGCCCCAGGCACTGGGCCCACTCCACCTTCCATATATGGCCACGAAAACATCCAGGTGGGGATAGAAGGGTTAGGTTATGCTTCCTCATCGTGGCTGAAGTCGAGGGACAATGTAGGCTAGACAAGTTGTTTCTCTTGTTGCTGGGGTACAATACCCAGCAAAGGGTTTGTCTCGGCTCACAGGTTTGCGGCACAGTGGTTGGGAAGGCCTAGGGGCATGAGGCAGGAAGCCACACTCCATCTGCAGTCAGGAAACAGAAAGTGTAGCCCAGAGAATGCTGCTGCCCACATTCAGGTCCCTCAGGAACACGCTGAGTCTATGTCATGTGAAGCTGACTATTGCTAGCAGTCAAGAGGAGGCCACCCACAGTCACCCACTGTCATTAACATGGACACCGTCACTCATGATCACCATCACTCACATGGTCACTGTCACTCATGGTCACCATCATTCATGGTCACTGTCACTCATGGTCACGATCACTCACATGGTCACCGTCACTCACATGGTAACCGACACTCATGGTCACCATCACTCATGGTCACCATCACTCACATGGTCACCATCACTCATGGTCACCATCACGCATGGTCACCGTCACTCACATGGTCACTGACACTCACATGATCACCGTCACTCATGGTCACGGTCACTCATGGTCACGGTCATTCACATGGTCACCGTCAATCATGGTCACCATCACTGACATGGTCATCGTCACTCATGGTCACCGTCACTCATAGTCACCGTCACTGACATGGTCACCGTCACTCACATGGTCACTGTCACTCACATGGTCACCATCACTCATGGTCACCATTACTAATGGTCACCGTCATTCATGGTCACCGTCACTAATGGTCACCGTCACTCATGGTCACCATCAGTCACATGGTAACCGTTACTCACATGGTCGGCATCACTCATGGTCACCGTCACTCACGTGGTCACCATCACTCATTGTTACCATCACTCATATTCACCATCACTCACATGGTCACTACCACTCATGGTCACCGTCACTCACATGGTCACCGTCACTCATGGTCACCGTCACTCATGGTCACCGTCACTCATGGTCACCTTCACTCACATGGTCACCGTCACTCATGTTCACCGTCACTGATGGTCACCGTCACTCACATGGTCACCGTCACTCAAATGGTCACTGTCACTCACATAGTCACCATCACTCATGGTCACAATCACTCATGGCCACTGTCACTCACATTGTCACTGTCACTCATGGTCACCATCACTCACATGGTCACCATCACTCTTGGTCACCATCACTCATGGTCACCGTTACTCACATGGTATCAATCACTCATGGCCACTGTCACTCACATTGTCACTGTCACTCATGGTCACCATCACTCACATGGTCACCATCACTCATGCTTACCATCACTCATGGTCACAATCACTCATGGCCACTGTCACTCACATGGGCACCATCACTCATGGTCACCGCCACTCATGGTCATCATGACTCACATGGTCACCTTCTTTCGTGGTCACCATCACTCATGGTCACTGACACATGGTCACTGTCACTCACATGGTCACTGTCACTCACATGGTCACCATCACTCATGGTCACCGTCACTCATATGGTCACCGTCTTTCATGGCCACCGTCACTCACATAGTCACCGTCACTCACATGATCACCAACACTCATGGTCACCATCAATCCTGGGGACCATCATTCATGGTCATTATCACTCACATGGTCACCATCACTCACATGGTCACCATCACTCATGGTCACCGTCACTCACATGGTCACCATCACTCACATGGTCACCATCACTCATGGTCACCATCACTCACATGGTCACTGTCACTCATGGTCACCTTCTCTCACATTGTCACCATCACTCACATGGGCACCATCTTTCGTGGTCACCGTCACTCATGGTCACTGACACTCACATGGTCACCGTCACTCATGATCACAATCACTAACATGGTCACCATCACTCATGGTCACCATCACTCATTGTCACCATCACTCATGGTGACCATTACTCATGGTCACCATCACACACATGGTCACCATCACTCACATTGTCATCTTCACTCATGGTGACCATCATTCACATGGTCACCGTCACTTATGGTCACCGTCATTCACATTGTCACCGTCACTTGCATGGTCACAGTCACTCACATGGTCACCATCACTCACATGGTCACCGTCACTCACGTGGTCACCATCACTCATGGTCACAATCACTCATGGCCACTGTCACTCAAATGCCCATTGTCACTCATGGTCACCGTCACTCACATGTTCATTATCACTCATGGTCACCATCACTCACATGGTCATTATCACACATGGTCACTATCATTCATATGGTCACCGTCACTCACATGGTCACCATCACTCAGGGTTACCATCACTCATGGTCACAGTCACTCATGGTAACCGTCACTCATATGGTCACTGTCACTCATGGTCACCATCACTCACATGGTCACCATCACTCTAGGTCACCGTCAATAACATGGTCACCATCACTCATAGTCACCTTCACTCATATGGTCACCATCACTGATGGTCACAATCACTAACATGGTCACCATCACTCATGGTCACGTCACTCACATGGTCATCGTCTTTAATGGTCACCGTCACTCATGGTCACCGTCACTCACATGTTCACAACACTCACATGGTCACCGTCACTCATGGTCACCGTCACTCACATGGATACCGTCACTTATGGTCATCGTCACTCACATGGTCACCATCACTCTTGGTCACCGTCACTCACATTGTCACCGTCTTTAATGGTCACCGTCACTCATGGTCACTGTCACTCACATGTTCACCGTCACTCACATGGTGACTGTCACTCACATGGTCACCGTCACTCACATGGTCTCCATCACTCACATGTTCACCATCACTCTCATAATCACCGCCACTCAATTGTCACCGCCACTCATGGTCACCGTCACTCACATGGTCACCATCACTCTTGGTCACCGTCACTCACATTGTCACCGTCTTTAATGGTCACCGTCACTCATGGTCACTGTCACTCACATGTTCACCGTCACTCACATGGTGACTGTCACTCACATGGTCACCGTCACTCACATGGTCTCCATCACTCACATGTTCACCATCACTCTCATAATCACCGCCACTCAATTGTCACCGCCACTCATGGTCACCGTAACTCACATGGTCACCATCACTCTTGGTCACCGTCACTTACATAGTCCCCATCACTCATGGTCACCTTTACTCACCTGGTCACTATCACTCATGGTTAGCATCACTCAATGTCAGCATAACTCACATGGTCACTGTCACTCATGGTCACCGTCATTCATGGTCACCGCCACTCATGGTCACCATCACTCACATGTTCACTGTCACTCATGGTCATTGTCATTTATCGTCACCGTCACTCACATGGTCAACATAACTCATGGTAGCCATCATTCATATGGTCACCATTACTCATGGTCACCATCACTCATGGTAACCGTCACTCACATGGTCACCATAACTCATGGTCACCATCAATTATAATCACTATCACTCATAGTTACTTTCAATCATATGGTCACTGTCATTCACATGGTCACCGTCTTTAATGGTCACCGTCACACAATGTCACTGTCACTCACATGGTCACAACACTCACATGGTCACCATCACTCATGGTCACTGTCACTCATATGTTCACCGTCACTCACATGGTGACCGTCACTCACATGGTCACCATCACTCATAGTCACCGTCACTCACATGGTCACCTTCACTAACGTGGTCACCATCTCTCACAGTCACCATCACTCATGGTCACCGTCACTCATGGTCACCGTCACTCACATGGTCACCATCACTCATGGTCACCGTCACTCACATGGTCACCATCACTCATGGTCACCGTCACTCACATGGTCACCATTACTCATGGTCACCGTCACTTACATAGTCCCCATCATTCATGGTCACCATCACTCATGGTCACCATCACTCACATGGTCACCATCACTCATGGTCACTGTCACTCACAATGTCACCATCACTCATGGTCATCATCACTCATGGTCACCGTCACTCATGGTCACAGTCACTCACATGTTCACTGTCACTCACATGGTGACCGTCACTCACATGGTCACCATCACTCACATGGTCACCATCAATCACATGGTCACCGCCACTCATGGTCACAATCACTCATGGCCACTGTCACTCACATGGTCACTGTCACTCATGGTCACCGTCACTCACAATGTCATCATCCCTCACATGGTCACCATCCCTCATGGTCACCGTCACTCATGGTCACAGTCACTCACATGTTCACCGTCACTCATGATCACCGTCACTCACATGGTCACCATCATTCACATGGTCACTGTCATTCATGGTCTCCGTCACTCACATGGTCTCCATCACTCACATGGTCACCGTCAGTCACATTGTCACCATCACTCATGGTCATCATCACTCATGGTCACCGTCACTCATGGTCACTGTCACTCATGGTAACCATCATTCATGGTCACCATTACTCATGGTCACCGATACTCACATGGTCACCATCACTCATATGTTCACCATCATTCATGGTCACCGTCACTCATATGTTCACCATCACTCATGGTCACCATCATCATGGACACCGTCACTCACATGGTCACTGTCACTCATGGTCACCGTCACTCACATGGTTACCATAACTCATGGTCATCATCACTCATAATCACCATCACTCACATGGTGACCATCATTCATGGTCACCATCACTCTTGGTCACCGTCATTCATTTTCATCATCACTCACATGGTCACCGTCACTCACATGGTCACCATCATCATGGACACCGTCACTCACATGGTCACCGTCACTCACATGGTCACCATCATCATGGTCACCGTCACTCACATGGTCACCGTCACTCATGGTCACCGTCACTCACAAGGTTACCATCACTCATGGTCACCATCACTCACATGGTCACCATCACTCATGGTCACCATCACCTATGGTCACCGTCACTCATGGTCAGCGTCACTCATGGTCATCGTTACTCATGATCACCATCACTGACATGGTCACCATCACTCATGGTCACTATCACTCATAGTCACTATCACTCACATGGTCACCATCATTCATATGGTCACCATCACTCACATGGTCACCGCCACTCACATGGTCACCGCCACTCACATGGTCACCGTCACTCATGGTCACTATCACTCACATGGTCACCATCACTCACATGGTCACCATCACTCACATGGTCACCATTATTCATGGTCACCATCACTCATGGTCACCATCACTCATAGTCACTATCACTCACGTGGTCACCATCATTCATATGGTCACCGTCACTCATGGTCACCGTCACTCATGGTCACCGTCACTCACATGGTCTCCATCACTCACATGGTCACAATCACTCATTGTCACCGCCACTCATGGTCACCGTCACTCATATGGTCACCGTCACTCATGGTCACCGTCACTCACATGGTCTCCATCACTCACATGGTCACCATCACTCACATATTCACCATCACTCATGGTCACTGCCACTCATGGTCACGGTCACCGTCACTCATGGTAACCATCACTCACATGGTCACCGTCACTCACATGGTCATTGTCACTCACATGGTCCCCATCACTCATTGTCATCATCACTTAAGTTCACCGTCACTCATGGTCACCGTCACTCATGGTCACCGTCACTCACATGGTCACCATCACTCATGGTTACCGTCACTCATTGTCACTGTCACTCACATGGTCACCATCACTCACATGGTCACCGCCACTCATGGTCATCGTCACTCATGTTCACCGTCACTCACATTGTCACTGTCACTCATGGTCCCCTTTACTCACATGGTCACCGTCCCTCACATGGTCACCGTCACTCATGGTTACCATCTCTCATGGTCACCATCACTCATCGTCACTGTCACTCAGAGCGTCACTATCATTCATATGGTTACCATCATTCACATGATCACTATCATTCATATGGTCACCATCACTCACATGGTCACCATCACTCATATTGTCACCATCACTCATGCTGTTTAATAGAGTGGAGCTAGGCTTGGAGAGGCAGGTTTATTATCCTAGCTACTAGGGAGGCTGAGGCAGGAGAATTGCAAGTTCAAATCCAAGTTGGGCAACATAGTGGGACCCTGTCTCAAGAAGAAAATAATTATTTTGGCTTTTTGAGACAGGGTTTCTCTCTGTAGCCCTGGCTGTCCTGGAACTCACTCTGTAGACCAGGTTGGCCTTGCACTTGGAGATCCACCTTCCTCTCTTTTCCAAGTGCTTTGTCTCCCAGTGGAGAGGGCCTGACTGTGTCCCCCAGTGGAGAGGGCTTGCCTCTGGCCCTCTGGTATGAACACCACTCTGTCCTAGCTTGCCATGCATCCACAGGCTAAACATCTTCCAAGATTAGGCGTTTAAAAGTGTGAATCTGAGGCAGGGGAACTGGCTGAGTAGTAAAGAATACTTGTTCTTGTGGAAGACTCAGGGAGCTGGCGGCAGGGAGCTGGAGGCAGCTGCTTATATCACACCCACAGTCAGGAAGCAGAGAGACAAACTCTGGTGCTCAGCTCACTTTCTCCTTTTTATTTGGTAGGGGACCCCATGGGATAGTGCGGCCCACATTTGGGGTGACTCTTCCACCTCAGTTACCAGTTCCAGAAAGTTTCTCCGAGGCCTGTGCAGAGGGGGAGCTCTGGTAATGCTGGATCCGTCAAGTGGACAGCCAATATTAGCGTCAGAGCCACAGAGCGCTGCTCCCCACCCAGACTCTCCTCCCCGTTCCTTCCCTGACACAGCTCAGAGAGGTGGAGTCGCTTGCCTCAGGCCACACAGCTGATTTATATGGAAGCCAGATCTTGAACTTTAGTCTACTTCAGTCTGACTTCACATTCTGCCGCTCTCTGTCCTCCAGATAGACACTGGGACCCTGGGTGTTTTCCCTGCCATCCGAATCATTTTCCTCTGGCTGCAAATGTTTCCATCTTTGTCATGGGGGTGGGCAAATGGGGGTTATGCTCACGCTGGGACCTGAGATCACTCGTGAGCAGGCATTGGGCTTGCTGGGGACGGCACTAGTTCCTAGCCCCCCTCCTCCCTCCATTGTTCTCTACGTCTGGTTGTCCAAGCCCACAATGACACTTCATGGAGCCCCGAACGCCAGGAGTCCCCAAGCATAAGATCCATGTCCCCTCCCTTCCCTCACCCTACACATAGCAGATGTGTGTGATTGGATATGAGATAATGCCAGAAGAAATGAGTGTTTTCTGACCCCTGGGCACTCCCACCTCCAGCTCCTCTGGGTACGATGTCACCTGGGTACTGTCTTCAGGTGGGGAGGCTGCAACCATTTTACAGATGAGAACAACAAGGCTCAGGCTTCCTGGCACTGGCCATGCCCCCGGGCAGACCTAAGCTGTGAGCCTCACCTAGCATGACCCCAGCTTCTGACACCCAGTAGGAACCACCTGCATAGTCCTAGGTTCCCAGGTCTGCCAATCATTTCTCATACACAGCAGGGGACGTGTGTGTGTGTGTGTGTGAGCTCTTGGAGCTGCCTGCTCTGGAGGGACCGTGTGAGGCAGCCACAGAGGGGGGACCCCACTTCAGGGCAGAAGTTCCCAGAGCTCCCCACATGGCAGAAGGGGTGGGATCTTACAAGCCAGGACAGATCCTAGGTGACCTCTGAGTCGCTCACTGAAGGAGAGCTGCTGGCATCTGGCCCACGCCTCTTTCAGGACAAGCCATTCACCCTTTGGCAAGTTCACACAACAGGCGCCTGCTTCTGAGTGCCTGCTAGACCAACAGCTGCACCCGCCGCCCTGCAGAGCGCAGCTAAGGCCTGCCCAGGCTGGTGTTCCCACGAGGCACAGGTTGCTGTGCCCTATGATGTGATGAAGATGCCCAGCAGGGAAGGGTGGCAGGTGGGAGAGGGTGGGTGAGGCTTCTCAGAGGAGGGTCTAGGGATGCCTTGTGATAGATGATCTCATGAGGGCTTAGAAGGTGACCTGCTAGCCTGAGGTCAGTCAGTGACCCCTCCAGGCCTGCGTGGTAGCCTGTCTGCCAAGGCGCACAGGTTGCAGCACACCTCATTACCGTCTCTGCTGCATTCCTCTCTGGGGAGGGAGGGAGTGAGCTCAGGTTCCCACAGTTCTGTCACTCTGCCTTTAGAGACCAAGACTTGAGCCCATGTTCCTCCGTGGCAGGAACAGCAAGGTGAAGGCAGATGAGCCTGTCCTGCCTTGGCTGCCAAACGGCACTGGAGGCGACAGTGAGTACCAGCCACATGGCGCATGCTGTCCAGAGACTGGGCCTGCCCTTCAGCAGCCAAGTGAGGGGCCACAGGGCCAGCAGGCCACTCTCCAAATGTGTTAGCCCTCATCCAGTTTCTCATGTGCAGAGGAAAGGATTGGCAAGTGGTCACAACACTTTACAGTCTGCAGAGGCTCTCTAAACAAACAAAACCAGTCGTAGTCTAGGTGTTGTGGGACATGATTTCAATCCCAGCACTCGGGAGGCAGAGGCAGAAGGATCTCAAGTTTGAGGTCAGCCTGGTCTACAGGGCAAGTTCCAGAACAACCAGGGCTACAGAGAGAAACCCTGTCTCCGAAAAACGAACTAACGGGCAGCTGTAGCAAATGCCTACGTAGTAAACTCTTTCCACTGCAGGCCTGGCATCCTGCAGCCTTGTGCTAGCTCCTGGCCAGGATCCTCTCTGCCTGTCCAGTAATGAACCAGAGCTGAGGCCAGCTTCTTTTCACCAAGGAGACGTGGCTCAGGGCTGAGAGCAGCGCCCAGGCTGTTCTATGCTTTTTGACCTGCTGACACCCCTGCTGTACAGGACAGCACATCCTATCATCCCCAGCTGTGCAACCTTGTGCAGACGGCTTGCTGTCTCTGTGCCCCCAATCACCTCGTGTGTGAAATAAAGATGGTAAGTAATATTCCTGTCGCATGGAGTTGTGCAGATCCAGGCTGTTGGCTGAGGATGCTGGGACACCATTGACTACGACAATGTTGTTAGTGGTGACAGGACCATCATGGGTACACATGAGGGTTAGGTAACTTGCTCAAACAATGAGGACTCAACCCTGTGTTTCTGTGGTCCCCACTGCATGGGGTGTGCCCTGGTCATGTGTGCCCGAGCCTCTGTGTCCTGTCCCCACAAGCCGGCGTCAGTGGGCACTGCTTGCCTCCAGCCATTTCCTCTGTCCCATAATTCTGCTGAGAAGGAAGAAGCAGCTCCTGGTGGACCCCCCCCCACATTGTGTAGAGCCTGTACCCCACAACTGAGAACACCAGATTGCAGATTCCCCTTTTCCCCAGTCCATCTGGTTCTGAGCCCTGCCCATGAGTCCCACATCCAGGGGGAGCCAGGAGCCAGGGCCTGCATGGTTGCAGGCTGGGCAGGGTCTTGCTCAGGGCTGAGAATCACACAGGTATCTCTACTGATCTCCAGGATCCTCGGCACTCCAATAATATGTCTTGCTCTCTGTCCCTCCCCTACCACAGTTACTATTCCAAGAACTCTGGACCTTGGAAGACATGAGTTCATCCCTGCAAGTCACTTGCAACACCCAAGATCTCCTGTTCCTCCATGTCCGTGGCCAGATCCAGTTCTGGGGATGCCCAGGAGGAGGGGAACTGCAGCCAGCTGGCAGCTGGACACTGCTGGGCACCAATGAGACATGTTGGCTCCCCAAACAATCACAAGCTGCTGAGATTACAGAATGGGAGACTCAGAGAGGCAGAGTGGTATTTCCAAGGTCACCAAGCTCTTAAAAATTCCCTGGCCTCCAGCCTGGTCTACAAGACTAGTCCCAGGACAGGCACCAAAGCTACAGAGAAACCCTGTCTCAAATAAATAAATAAAATTTAAAAAAAGTTCCTGGCCCTGGACAGCATGTATGAGTCCTTCCCCCACTCCTCTGCCACCTTTCTTTCTCTCTCTCTCTCTCTCTCTCTCTCTCTCTCTCTCTCTCTCTCTCTCTCATCAGCCACGGCTCTTAGTGGAATTGGCTTGGGGCTTGGAAGTCTTAAGGGGGGTATGGGTTACCAGCTCTACTTCTTGAACTCAGTCCCCACTTGTTAAGGGCATAGCCGGGCAGTGGTGGCACACACCTTTTAATCCCAGCACTCCAGAGACAGAAGCAGGTGGATCTCGAGGCCAGCCTGGTCTACAGAGCGAGTTTCAGAACAGGCTCCAAAACTACAGAGAAACCCTGTCTTGAAAAACAAAACAAACAAACAAAAAGATTTAGCCCGTGATTCTCACCTGGGTGAGGCTTGGGAAAATAAATTTCTGTAGCTAAGCCGGGAGAGGAAGGCTGCTAAACACCCCTGGGAGCATAGAACAGCCCCAGCTGTAGAGACCCTCGCCCCCTGGTAGAAGGACTGGTGGCTGTTCCAAGGAGGAGGCTGGGATTCTAAGTAAGTCCTGTTGCCCGCATCCCAGAGGGCTCTTGCCATGAAAACCCAAGCGTGTGGACTCTTGGACCAATTTCAGTCCAGACCCACTTTTAGCCTTTATAGGAAAATGAGGTTAAGAGGTACAGAACAAGAAACTGGTTCCTGGTGCCAGAGCTGGGTGGAAGCTGTGCCCCAGTAACCGTGACCACGCTTGGATCGACTGCTCACATTTGGGGCCTCCAACCTGCTGAGCCCGATGCCCTCATGCCAGCTCCAGCCTCTCTTTCCTTGCTTCCAACAAAGAGCCTGATGCTTTTGCTACAGGGCCAGCACTGCCTCCTTCCTGGACGACCGCCCCAGGTCAGCCTCCGCCACAGCACCCCCAGCTCCTAAGTAGCTCCAGACACTGCCCGAGGCAGTCCTGTGCAGCCTGGGCTGCTGGGGGCTGTCTGTACATCCTTGTCTGTCAGAGGCCTGCAGTGAGCCCCGGAGGGCCACCTCCAAAACTCAGGCTCTGACTTTCCCAAACATCCTGCTGTTTACATTTCAGAGGGGCCCGGGGGACCCTCCGGAGCTGGGGGGTCTGCCGCTCCGGCGCCTGCTGCCTGACACTCCCACCCCCACCTCCTGCAGCCTGGTGTGCCCCCCTGCAGCTGCAGCAGAGCAGCAGACGTCCTGGCCCTTTGAGAAGAGCCACCTCTGCCACCACACCCTGCATGCATTACAGGGAGGTCTGGGTAGACAGGATGGCTTGTTAAACCATGGCTGAGGCTGCTCATGCATTACAGGGAGGTCTGGGTAGACAGGATGGCTTGTTAAACCATGGCTGAGGCTGCTCATGCATTACAGGGAGGTCTGGGTAGACAGGATGGCTTGTTAAACATGGCTGAGGCTGCTCAGCACTGTCACTGCTGTGTCCTTGTCTCTCTAGTTCCCAAATGAGGGTATGCCAGCCCTTGGCACAGGGACCAGTACAGATTAGCTGCTTGGTAAAGAGTGAGTGGGTAGGCCTGCCAACTAGCTGGTACCTGCCATCCCCTGCCCTTCCCTCTCATTCTCCTCATTGCCTTTCCCTTGGCCCTGCCAGTAACTTCTGGTGCTGAGCCTGACCCAGGGCCTCGTGCGCTAGCCAAGCTCTCTATGACTGAGCTACACACACACACCTCCCTCCTCAGCCCCCGACCACTGCATTTTCCTACCAGCCCCCTGATCATACCCTGGCCTGCCTTCACTTACGGAGCACACACTCTACGCAGCCTTCACCCAAGTGGATGTTTTCTCAGCATCGCAGCCAAAGGAAAGCACCTTAGTTCTCTCTCCAGCTTTATTCAGACTAGCTGCAGCCACAGGCAGGGAACTGCTGGACGCCCACAGGGGGCCAGTGGGTGGAACGCTAGGGGTTTCAGCCCTGTCAGCCCAGAACCCCCACACTAGGGAGGTAGAAGCAAGAGGATCAGAAGGTCAAGATCAGCCTCAGCAGCATAGTTTACTTCAGGCCGTCCTGGGTTACATGAGACCTGTCTCAGTCAACGACAAAGAAGTCACCACTAGTCAGGGCGGATCACACATTTGCAGTGTAATTGAGTTTAATGAGGCTCTGTCTTTACTCCTGAAGACCGCAAGTGTTTTGTAGAACAGGATTTTTTAATATATATAACACAGGATGTTTATAAATCAGGATATTTAGTTCCTTAGAGAATTGGTCTTATGTAGCCCAGGCTAGAACTTTCTTTGGAATTTTAGGTGTTCAGATCAATAAAGGTGAACGCCACCACACCTAGGGTATGCAGTGCTGGGGATAGAACTGAGCTGTCTTAGGGTTCTATTGCTGTGAAGAGACACCATGACCACAGCAACTCTTATAAAGGAAACATTTAATTGGGCCTGGCTTACAGTTCAGAGCTTCAGTCCATCAGCATCATGGTGGGAAGCATGGCAGCATGCAGGCAGCCGTGGTGCTGGAGAAGGAGCTGAGAGCTCTACATCTGAATCCACAGGCAGCAGGAAGAGAGTGAGACACTGGGCCTGGCTTGAGTGTCTGAAACCTGAAAGCCCACCCCTAGTGACACATTTCCTCCAACAAGGCCATACATGGTGCCACTCCCTAGGGGCCTAAGGGGACCACTTTTATTCAAACCACCACACCAGGACCTCTTGAATGCTAAGCAATCACTCTACCAACTCAACAGTCTGTTTATGCAGCCCAGGCTGGTCTTGAGCACACTGTCTTAGTTAGGATTTCTATTGCTGTGAAGAGATGCCATGATCACAGTGACTCTTATAAAAGAAAACATTTAATTAGGGACTGACTTACATTTCAGAGGTTTAGTCCATTGTCATAACGGTGGGAAGCATGGTGGCATGTAGCCAAACAGGTGCTGGAGAAGGAACTGGGAGTTCTACACCTGGATCTGAAGACAGCAGGAAGAGAGAGGGACACTGGGAGTGGCTTGACCATCTGAAACCTGAAAGCCCACACACTTCTTCCTCTTAATAGTACCAGTCCCAGTGAGCCAATGGGGGCCATTTTCATTCAAATCACCACATTCTGCTCCCTGTCTCCCTTAGGCTGGTAGCCATAGAATAATGCAAAACAGCAGTCAGTCCAACTTTAAAAGTTGAAAGTCTCTTCTGAGAGTAGCACAATCTCTTAAGCATAATCCCCTGTAAAAATCAAAAAGAAAAGATCAATACTTCCAACATGCAATGACACAGGAAATGCATCACCATCACAAAATGGAGGAAGGAGAGCACAGTGAGAAAACACTGGGCCAAAGCAGACTGAAACCAGCAGGGCAGACCCCACACTTGTCATCTCCACGTCTGACGTCACAGCTCCTCAGAGCTCCAGCTCCTTTCAGCTTTGTTGACTGCAGCACACTTCTTTCTCCTGGGCTGATTCCATCCCTGTAGCATCTTTCCTTGGCAGTTACCATGACTCTGGCATCGCCATCTTTCTCCAACATAATCCAGGCCTCACCTTCACAGCTTCACACAATGGCCTCTCTAGGCCCCCATGCAGGCACAGCCCTGCCACATGCCTGGCCTCAGCCGTGGAGGGAGATTCCATGGTCCCTTCCTAGTATCCTTGATTCTAAAGCCAGAACCACCTGGCTGAAGCTGCCAAATTCTGCTTCTTGCTGGGGATCAGGTAGCCTTACTAAATGGCTCCTGTCCTATCTGTGTGGTTTTTGGTCTTGTCGGGGCCAAATCTCCGGGCTCCCAACAAACCAGACCATCTAGTACCTGCGGGAGTCTGTTTTGGGTCCTTTGTCTAGCTGTTGTGTTTGTTGGTCTTGTGTGTTCTGTCTTTGTATCTCTGTTCACGACTGACTTGACTGGACAGGCCTTTCATTTCACCTGACTGCACTACCTTCTCCTTTGCAGGTTTTTCCCTTAAAGTCCCATGCTCCATGCCACCCTGACCCCTCCCACGCTGGTGGATGGGTTCCCTTGGCCTGCCCTGGGGGCTGTGGGCCTCGACTTCTGGCCAAACCTGACCAAGGTTTGAATCCTCAGGCCAAGGGCCCTGGTGTCACGCTGCAGTGGTCGTGCTGTGACACTATAGCCAGATTTCCCTCCACCAGAGCTGCTTTCATCACTCAGATTCAGTGTGTTATAGATACCTGTCATCATAGAGGGACTGGTTACAGATTACTATTGGTTAGAGTATGGAAAAAAACTACTGTTAGTCTCAGATGTTTCACGCTGGTACAGGATTTTATGTGATGTAATTTAACGTTATTTTTGTTATAGTTTATGCATGCTTCTGTTCTTGGTAAGAGTTTTTTATGTTGTCTGGAATGTGAGAAATACTTTGGTGTGTTGTCTGGAAAGAGGAAAAAAAGCAGGAGACTAAAAGAATAAAAGAGAGGAAAAATGGATTAAAGGTATATAAAAGTTATAGACGGTCAGAAGGGGATGTGAACTATGTTTTCTGTGGCTTCTCATACTTGCAAATACTGAATGTGCTTGTTTTGTTGAAAAGTTTGTCTATGTAAGTTTTCTTGCAAGCGTGGAACTGAGACAGAAATGGTCTGGCTATTTTTGCTGTCTCTGCCACCCATCACTGCTGTGGCCACATTCATGGGCCTGACTTCAGACTTTTATCTCTGAACTCTGGTTGCTGGACTTGGGTTAGCAGAAATTCAGATGACTCTTTTGTATAGATAATGTTAAAACTGTTTTTATGCTGTTTTTTATTGAAATATTGACTTTAAAGTTGGATTGTGGCTCTTCCTTTGTTAGACCCAGGCTTATGTTTATTTAAAAGTTTCCTCTGGGGCTGGAGAGATGGCTCAGAGGTTAAGAGCACTGGCTGCTCTTCCAGAAGTCCTGAGTTCAATTCCCAGCAACCACATGGTGGCTCACAACCATCTATGAGATCTGGTTCCCTCTTCTGGTGGGCAGGCATACCTGCAGACAGAACATTGTATACATAATAAATAAATTAAAAAAAATAATTAAAAAAAAAGTTTCCTCTGTCAGTCTGAGGCCCTGACACAATGACAAGGAGACAAAAACAAAGCAGAACAGTCACATTCTGTAGCTTCAGATTTATAAGTTTATTTTTCGATATAGTCAAAAATCTGTTAAAATTAAAATAAAACTAGTTAAAACCTAATTAGTAACACTGGGAATTGATAACTTAAAATTTATGCATGAGTAATTTTAAAGAAACCATAAGACATAATTCCATTTTGGATTTTGGATTAGCATTTTGCTAGGAAAAAAATGGACGCCGCAGGATTTCACTGCCATCTTGATCGTGACCATGTGGAGGGGGCCTAACTAGGAGGCAGCAGCAGATCTCTAAGATAGTTTGGACTGGGATAGATTTTCGTATGATGGCTCAGGTCCCATTCTGAAAACAACATACATAGCTGAACTTCAATGTTTTTATACTCAAAACTGTACCTTGCACTGCCAGCTAGATGTTGTTAATTTCAGAGTCACCGAGGTGATAATGGTTATAAAGACATAAAAGGATCATAGGAAACAGCTGAGGTTTACAAATGTACGGTGGGACTGGAGTCCCAAAGAATGTGCAGTCGCAAGAATGGACCTTGACAGTTTTAGAAACGCCACTGCCACGTGATAGTCACCAGAAGCACCAGCTACAATGAAACAGAGCAGACTGAGATCTAAAAGACAGGCTATGTATATGCTGTCGAAGATGGAGAGAAAGAGGTACTTTATTTCTGATATTACAGGAAAACATTTAAGAGATTTTAATGTTTTAAGAACAGCTAAAACTATGGGATATTTGTGCTTATAAAATGTTTTATATTATTAGTGTTTGGGCTTCATAAAAGGCTAAAAATTAGGGTCTAGGGTCACAGCCATAAGCACCAAATGCTAACCAGAAACTGGATGTTCATTTCTTTTACTTGTAAAATAACGACAGGAAAAATTGTGTAATAGGGGATCACCACAACATGGGAAACTATATTAAAAGGTCAAACCATTTTAAAGTTGAGAATCGGTGGCTTAAAATAATGTATCTCCTTGCTCAAGGTCTATTCAGGCTTAAAAATGTATGTTTAGCCTCCTTGTCTTTGCTAACTTTGTTGAGTTTAAGCTATTTAAATAAACTGAGTGATAAATTTTTTGTATTGATACTAAGGGGAACTTCAATTGAAAAATTTTTGGTTTTTAGCCTGGTATTGGCATTAAAAACAGACAGGAGGATGAATGGAACTGAATCAAAGACCCGGATATCAATCCTCATTCCTATGAACACCTGATTTTTGACAAAGAAGCAAAAAAAAGGGGGGGGGCAAGGAAGCATATTCAACAAATAGTGCTGGCATAACTTGATATCAACATGTAGAAGAATGAAAATAGATCCATATCTATCACCATGCACAAAACTCAAGTTCAAATGGATCAAAGACCTCAACATATAGCCAACTACACTGAACCTCATAGAAGAGAAAGTGGGAAGTACACTTGAACGCATTGGCACAGACGATCACTTCCTAAATAGAACCCCAGCAGCACAGACACTGAGAGAAACAATTAATAATGGAACCTTCTGAAACTGAGAAGCTTCTGTAAAGCAAAGGGCACAGTCAACAAGACAAAACGGCAGCCTACAGAATGGAAAAAGATCTTCACCAATCCCACATTGGACAGAGGTCTGATCTCCAAAATATACAAAGAACTCAAGAAACTGGTCATCAAAAGAATGAATAATCCAATAAAAAAAATGGAGTACAGACCTAAACAGAGAACTCTCAACAGAGGAATCTAAAATGGCTGAAAGACACTTAAGGAAATGTTCAACATCCTTAGTCATCAGAGAAATGCAAATCAAAACAACTCTGAGATTCCATCTTTTTTTATACATTTTTATTGATATTTATTGAGCTCTATATTTTTCTCTGCTCCCCTACCTGCCTTTCCTCTCTCCCCTTCAATCTTCCTCCAAGGTCCCCATGCTCCCAATTTACTCAGTAGTTCTTGTCTTTTTCTACTATCTACTTCCCATGTAGATTATATCTATGTAAATCTCTCTTAGTGTCCACATTGTTGTCTAAGTTCTCTGGGATTGTGGTTTGTAGGCTGGTTTTCTTTGCTTTGTGTTTAAAAAACCACTTATGAGTGAGTACATATAATAATTGTCTTTCTGGGTCTGGGTTGCCTCACTCAATATGATGTTTTCTAGCTCCATTCATTTGCCTGCAAATTTCAAGCTGTCATTTTTTTCTGCTGTGTAGTACTCCATTATGTAAATGTACCACATTTTCCTTATCCATTCTTCGGTCGAGGGGCATTAAGGTTGTTTCCAGGTTCTGGCTATGACAAACAAAGCTGCTATGAACATAGTTGAGTACATATCCTTGTGGTACGATTGAGTATACCAAAAGTGGTATTACTGGGTCTTGAGGAAGGTTGTTTCCCAATTTTCTGAGAAATCCACACTGATATCCAAAGTGGTTGTGCCAGCTTGCACTCCCACCAGTTATGCAGAAGTGTTCTCTTTAACCCACAACCTCTCCAGCATAAGTTGTCATCAGTGTTTATGATCTTGGCCATTCTTACAAGTATAAGATGGAATCTCGGTTTTGGCATAAAACAGGAGGACCAATGGTACTGAACAGAAGACCCAGATATCAATCCACACATCTTCGAATACTTGATCTTTGATAAAGAAGCAAAAAATATCAAATGGAAAAAAGAAAGCATATTTAACAATGGTGCTGGCATAACTGGATATCAACATGTAGAAAAATGAAAATAGACCCATATCTATCACCATGAATAAAACTCAAGTCCAAATGGATCAAAGACTTCAACATAAAGCCAGCCACACTGAACCTTATAGAAGAGAAAGTGGAAGTACACTTGAACACATTGGCACAGGGAACCACTTCCTAAATATAACCCCAGCAGCACAGACACTGAAAGAAACAATTAATAAATGGAACCTCCTGAAACTGGAAAAACTTAAGTAAAGCAAAGGACACGGTCAACAAGACAAAACAACAGCCTACAGAATGGGAAAAGATCTTCACTAACCCCACATCAGACAGAGGTCTGATCTCCAAAATACACAAAGAACTCAAGAAATTGGACACCAAAAGATCACATAATCCAAAAAATAATAATAATAAGAGTACAGACCTAAACAGAGAACTCTCAACAGAGGAATCTAAAATGGCTGAAAGACACTTAAGGAAATGTTCAGCATCCTCAGTCATCAGAGAAATGCAAATCAAAACAACTCTGCTATACTCATAGCAGCATTATGTGTGATAGCCAAAACCTGGAAACAACCCAAATGCCCCTTGACTGAAGAATGGATAAGGAAAATGTAGTACATTTACACAATGGAGTACTACACAGCAGAAAAACAATGACATCTTGAAATGTGTGGGCAAATGGCTGGATCTAGAAAACATCACATTGAGTGAGGTAATCCAGACCCAGAAAGACAATTATCATATGTACTCACTCATAAGTGGCTTTTAGACATAAAGCAAAGAAAACCAGCCTACAGTCCACAATCCCAGAGAACCTAGACAACAAGGAGGACCCTAAGAGACATATATGGATCTAAACTACATAGGACAGAGAAAAAGACAAGATCTCCTAAGTAAATTAAGAGCCTGGGGGCCATGGGAGAGGGTAGAAGGGGAGGGGAGAGGAAGGGAGGGGAGCAGAGAAAAATATATAGCTCAATAAAAAGAAAAAAGAAAAAGAGGGGCTGGAGAGATGGCTTAGCATTTAAGAGCACTGACTGCTCTTCCAGAAGTCCTGAGTTCAATTCCCAGCAACCACACGGTGGCTCACAACCATCCATAATGAGATCTGATGTCCTCTTCTGCCCTGCAGGCATACACGCAGATAGAACACTGTACATAATAAATAAATAAATCTTTAAAAAAAAAAGAAACAAAGTTTATCTAATCAGACATACCTGGGCAGCCCTCATACTTCAGAGATCTGCAGAATGTGGCATTTAAAATAATGGTTAAGAAGCTTATATTAAACAGAGACTCTGAGAGCCTAGCAGTAACCCAAGGTCTCCAGAGAAGATTATGGGAAGACCATGGTGTCTCCACCTGGATTATGATGACGCTGACCACTGGGCGAGACGCCCCAGTGCAACACCTGCTGCCAGGACCCGGTCCAGTCTGTGGGCAAACAGCAGGGCCTTGGAGAATGGATTGCACCACTTTTCCTAGACAAAATAAGGTCAGTCTTTTCCATGTCCCTCTTCCACAAGAGGGAAAAAAATCACCTTATGGGTCTGGCTAAGACTCTAAGACTGCTGTTCTGGATACTTCTGCCTCCAATGCTATGAAGACCTGGGTATGACTAACTGTATATAGACCCTGTCATTTTTAATAGATTTGGAAACTACTTGGTGTGTACTCAGGCATATTTTATTTATCCTTCTAGGATCTCTGATAGTATTGATGGCTAGGCCAGCTATAATATTGTCAGTTTAGCAGCAACAGGTATCCAGACCCTTCCACAAAGCTATAGCCAGCTTGTTAGCTCATTTTATAGATATAAAAATCAAGCCTTGCCTTTTCTAAAGCTACTAGATCCATTTTAAAAAGCAAGCATCCTTATCCTTAGCTCTAAGTTTAAAAGGCCACGGCTCAGGAAGCCAAGGATCTAATTGCCACTAACTCAACCCACACCTAGGAGCCCCACCATGGAGCCTGGTCTACCACCCTGAGCATTGTCCTTGTGTAACGCTGCCCTCTGTGGTCACAAGCGGTATCACCACTAGATCCCTGTCGGGTCCTGAGCCAGTATCTGTATGACTGTTACAGCCCAAGAGCTGCCAGCATCATACCTCAGGGCCTGCCTAGACTCAAGATCCTTATTTCATCAGAGTTTGTTCATCTCGGGAAGCTGTAGGCCCCTTTCTGGGGCTCTGGGAGCAAAGCCTGGAGCTAAGCATCATCTGGCTGAGATCTGATCCCCTACACTTTCCCTTCACCAGCTCCGGTACTCTAAGGATGAGACCCAAAGCACTGCTGTCCTAGGGATGGAGGAGCACCGTTCCCATGTCAGCTATTCAGCTGCAACTGACCTCCCCCCAGGTGTGCAGGTTCCTAAGAAAAGAGGAATCGTGTTTGAGACCTCACTTCTGTGGGGACTGGTATAAGCCGGGCTCTGAAGGGGGCAAACTGGCTGGAAGGGACTCTCAGCTGTGTGTCTGGCCTCCATTCTTTATTGGTCATCTCTTAATCCTAGGCATTGTTCCAGAAAGAAGCTGGGATATAGCACAGGACAGAACTGGTAGGCTCTGGCTGTGACTGAATAGATCATCTAGTTGAGGCAGGTGACAAAAGTTATAAATAAACCATATATATGATTAGGGTCAGGAAGAGTCACCTAAGGAGGTGACACTCAAGCTATACAACAAGCATTTGGGGGAAGAGCATTCTATGCTAAGGGTCTGGGGTGGGGATGAGTCGAGAATTGGCTAGAAGCCCCGGAGCTGGGAGGGGATGGCAGGAGGAAGTGTGGTTGGTCTGCAGGTGCCAGGCCTGTCAGCCCAAACAGGCTGGAGTCTCTGCTACAACTTCCTTCCTTCCAGGCTCTGGAAGAAATGTTTGAGCCCACCCTCTCCCTCTATACTGTCCACTCACACTTAGGATGTACTTAGCATTGTGGTTCTGACCACACACAACTTTTTTTCCCTTTCTGGATGCATTTGCCCTTCCCTGCCCCAGGCTGGTGTGCGGCTCGGCTCTGAGAGGTGATGCAACTAGCCACCCCATTCTCTTCTGGCTCAGCACCCTTCACGCAGAGCTAACCCTGAGGACTGTGTTCCAGAGAGCCCAAGGCACCCATGTCTGGCACCAGGCCGTGCAGTGGGATGGCAGGGAACTGGCCCTCAATGGAAGCCTCTCCAGGCCCATCTCAGAGTCTGGGGACTCAGGTGAGTAGCTGGGGAGCAGGAGGTATGGGTGCTCTCACTTGCCATGGTGAGTGCCTGCTTTTCCTTGTGCTATTCTCGGCCTCTAGACTCCTCAGGGCACAAAAGATGGCTCTCAAAGGAGATAGACAAAGAGCTAGGTGGAGCTGCAGCCCAGTTGGTAGAGTGCTTGCTTAGAGCATTTGATCCCCAGCACCTTACAAAACAGTGTGTGTGGGGGGAGCATGACTGTAATCTCAACCCCCAGGAAGTAGAGGCTGGAAGGTCAGGAGTTCAAGGTCATTCTCAGCTACATAAAACCTTGTCCCAAATAAATCAAAATTAGCAACAAAAGCAAAATGGAGCCAATGAGATGTTTCAGTGGGTGACAACCTGAGCTGGGACCCAGAAGCTAAAGGAGACAACCAACTCCCACAGCTGTTCTCTGATCCCCTACACATGTGGACTGTGTCACATGTATGTTCATGTGCACATACGAATAGATGTACTAAATTGTTCTGAATGAAGGCCAGTGGTTTAAAGTTACCAGGAGGATGAGCAGGGAGGCCATGGTAGGCCCCTGCATCAAGGTCAGCAGCAGGCTAAGGGGAGGGGTCTCTGTTGGTCTCTGGGTTCTCTAGCTCAGTACCCTCTGGCTGTCACCTGAAGCCTAGTTTGAGGCCAGGGTCAGTCAGCCAGAGTGTGCTCCCTGGTGGCTGCTCAGAGGTCAGGAGGGGAAGTGGTAACTGGCCTCTGAAGGCCAAGGCTTGAACATTCCAGTGGGCATCAAGGAACAAAGGCATGTCCTGAGACCAGGGCTGGGACAATGCAAGCAGGTGTGATAGCAAGGACACAGGGAGCTGGATTTGAAAGGTCAGGGGAGACCTTGATAGGAGAGGACGCTGTCAGCCAAGGACCCAGGAATGTGAGCTGTGGAGCAGTAAGTGCAAAGGCCCTGAGGCCGGAGCTAAGCTGAGGAGCTTCTGATGGAAGAGGCTGGCTGAGGGTAGGGTAGGACACTCAGGACCCAGAAGGGAGAGGCCTTTCTCAGTTTCCCAGTATGGGGTTCTGGACTCCTACTAGGAGGACCAAAGTTCCTGACCCCCACTTCTTCTTCAGGGAAGATGAAGGCATCCACAATTCAGCCAAAATCTCCTTGTCTGAGGTGGTGATGGCCTCACCTCTGTTCCCTCCTCATAGAGATTCAGCAATCAAGGGACAGAGGCTCACCTGTGACTCTGGAGGTTACCTGGGCTAACAGGTCCTCTACACACAGTGTGGCCTGGGATGGCTGCCTGACTGCCTCCTAGGTCAGGTATGTGCTGGCTCACTGGTGACCTCTTGCTTAGGATCCTCGTTCTGGGCCGCCCAGTAGACCTTGGGCTCATCTTTTGGTTCATGTTAGCTCAAGGGAACCTGGGCCCTGGGCCCGCTGCAGGCCTGTGTGGCCCTGACTCAGATCTGGGTGTCTCTCCTGGGGCCAACACCAGCCGCAGCAGAATGTGACATGAGGCCCAGGAAGCCAGACTCAGAGCCAGGCATCGGCAGGGAGCTCTGGCAGCTGTGGGAAGTGCCGAGCTTAAGGCAGTGTAGTTCTGGGTTCAGGTGTTGACTACGCCATGGGATCTAGGTCACTCTTTCCTCTAGCTGAGCCTTGCTTCATGTGAAATGGGTGTGATAGTCATGTCCTACCAGGAAATAGATCACTCCGATTGGTGTTCGGCAGTGTGTAGGTGCTGCTAGTGCTAGGGTCTGTACATATGGGGGAGGGGCAGGGCTCACCTCCCATCTCCTCATCAACCAGGGCTTCCAGGGGGCTGAGTGCAGCTCTTCAGAGTGTGGGACAAAAGACAGACTGCACTGAAATGGGGACCCTGGCTCTGAGAGTCTGTCCACCTCAGCCCCCTGCCCCAGGTTTCTGAGACCCTGGGGTCCTAAGGCTGGGGTCACTGGCACCTCGTCTCTGTGTGGGTGACACTCACCCCTGTGGGTACTGTTGGCATTCTCTCCTATGTGATAACCCTCATGTCATGATCCATTCCAGAAGCATCAGCTGCCCCAATGGGACAAGGTCCACACACAGGCCACACTAGAGGACATCCTCACGGGCCCCTGTGTCCAGCACAGCTTCCAGAGCACTGGAGACTGACTACACACACAAGTTATGCTTCATCCTCCATCTGGGGCTTTGCAGCTTGCCCAGGGTGAGTCTGCTGAGCAGGGTGGGTACAGGGAACCAGGGGCCCTGAGGAAGGGGAGTACCTGGGACAGGCGGAGCTGTCACAGTGGCTCTGCACACATCAGCTGTGGGGCATCTATCGCTAGTTTACATGAGAGAAGGAAGCGGGGAGATTGTGATATTCAGGAGGATGTGCAAACGAGAGCTGTCACCACCACCACAGCTGAGGCACACACTGGGACCCAATCCTGCCACTACCTGGGCTTGTCGCCTGAGCCCCCCACCATTCTCAGGTCCTCCTATCCATCTCTCTTCCTCTTTCCTGTCCCTTCCCCACCCATTCACATACCTGCCTGCCTTCCCGCCCACCCTCCTGCTGTCCACCTACCACCACCCGCCATCTGTCCATCTGCTGAGTGAGAGGCAGGTGCCACTCTGCTGGAGAGCTGTCCAGAGTGGAAGAAAACAGGACAGACCAAAGTTGTATGCTCAGGGCCTAGGGGAGGGTGGGATGGGAGCAGGGCTTACGAGTGGTCTCAGGACACCTGCAGGCCCCGCAGAGGTCACACACAGGCACTGTGCAGGAGTTATACATAGGCACCTGTGCAGACATGCTTCACTCACACAAGGCACTTGTGCATGCATGCTTCACTCACAGAGGTACCTGTGCAGGCATGCTTCACTCACACAGGCACCTATGCAGGCATGCTTCACTCACACACGGGCACCTGTGCGTGCATGCTTTACCCACACATGGGCACCTGTGCATGAATGCTTCACTCACACAGGCACCTGTGCAGGCATGCTTCACTCACACACAGGCACCTGTGCGTGCATGCTTTACCCACACATGGGCACCTGTACAGACATGTTTCACCCACACATGGGCACCTGTGCATGCATGCTTCACCCACACATGGGCACCTGTGCAGGCATGTTTTATCCACACACAGGTAGATGTACATGCATGTTTCACCCCCACACAGGCACATGTGCAGGCTTTGCTGAAGAAGGTTGTGGGAGGGGCAGTAGGACCTGCCACCTACACAGCCTGTTACAGCAATCCAGGTGAGAGGGATCACAGCTTGGGCCAAAATCCAGTGGGAGCAAAGCCATTCTCCCTGTGTCTCCTGACCTCTGAACCTCTGCAGTCTTCCTTCAGGTCCTCTCATTCTCCGGGGAGCACAGTCTGGACCAGGGTGCACTACTGTTGCGTTCTCAATACCAGCTGGGTCTTCCTCCAGACCCTGACCAGGGCCTGCACTTTAGCCTCACCCCCTACAACCACAGCAGAACTAATGCACCTGACTTCTCTGTGCAGGTGGAGGTAAATGTCTAAGCCCTCCAAGTTTCCATGCCAGCAGCCCCTCTGCCTGGGCTGCCACTTCCTCATTTACAACCAGGCCTGCTCTGCCCAGCTACAAACGGGTGCTTGATTCCACTCCTGGAACTAGAGACAGAGAGTAAGGCCTGAGGGCAAGCACTTGGGAGCACCCAAATGTGGTCCCCACCCTCCACTCTCCTTACCCCACTCTGGAGGCTGTGAGGTGCACAGCCTTGGCTCACAAACAGAGGAAGGAAATATTCAGGAACAGACCCAAGCCAACCATGGCTGGTGGGTCCTTGTTCTCCGGCTGTAACTAATGGCACTGAAGACAAACTGAAGGCTGGCTTGTCAGGTCCCCAGCCACGCTAGCTCCAAGCGGCTCCAGGTTGTCTTTGGCTTACAGTGCTGCCCTGCAGTCCTTGCCCAGCCCCGGGTCTGTACCACCTTCAGCAATGCAGCATTTTGCATTCACGGTCTACTTTATCCCCCTGTGGCCTCATTTTTCCTTGACCATCACGGCAAAGACATCAGAGACTGATGAATGCAGCTCAACCCTAAGACTCAGAAACCAGAAATCAGAAACCTCTGATTTCTGCTGATCTATGTCATATTACAGCCAGAAGCTGAGCTCAGAGAAGGTGATACCCTTATTTAAGGTTACACGGCTTTGAGTTGCAGGATCTAGCCTACAGAATACAGGGCAGTGGCCAGAGCAGGAGTGTCTCCCTTCTCCCAGTTGCTCTACCAGTCTCTTGGTCATTTTTAATGGTCCCTCCCCTGGGACCTTAAAGCCTTTGGCATTGTTCCAGTTCATTCAAAAACATTTGTCTTGTACCTACCTCCTCCCTCAAAAATGGGTGCCTATCAGGATTTGGGTAAACACAGTGACCCAGGCTTTATGTCCTGTGGACACTGGGACTGGAACCCCCAGACCAGTTGCATCTGTCTAAAGAGTGTGCGAGGATAAGGGTTCTAATCCTCCTGGACTGGGTTGGTGGGGAGACACCTACAAGCGGGCTTTGCTATATATGTTCTACTGTATGTGGTGGAATTCCAAGCCATGTGACGAGCAGGGAACCCGGTGCTCCTGGAAGAACAGTGTGGGTATTTTTCCTATCTCTTCTCTACTGATTAGATCGGCCCTAGCCCTTCCCTGAGCCTTGGACAGGCAGAGGCCAAAAACCAGAGCAGCCTCAGTAGCCAGGCCCACTCACGTCTGATTCATAGCTTCAAGGCTCCAGGGCTCAGCAGCTCCTCCTGCTGGGCAGCATCTCTACCTCAGCTTCCCAAAGCCTGGTCCAGCTGGAGGGCAGCATGGATAAGGATGAGAAACTAAGACTGTTGGTGTCGTGGGCCCTGAGCTGTCTTCAGACTTCTGCCGCCCACATGGAAGGTAAGTGGAAGGTGACAGGTGTTGTGCTTTCCCGTCCCTTTAAGGGACAAGCCACGCCCACTCCCATTACCTCTGACCTGCCTGCCGCCATCTTGCCCTTTTCCTTTTCTGCTTTCTTGGCATGCGCACGTGTTCTGTCTCTCTCCTTTTATCTTCTCTCTCTCTCTCTCTCTCTCTCTCTCTCTCTCTCTCTCTCCCTCCCTCCCTCCCTCCCTCTCCCTCTCCCTCTCTCCCTCTCTCCTGTAATAAATATTTTACCTTTATGCCTATCTTTTGTGTTTATGTGTCTGTTACCCGCTGTCACCGCCCACATGGTGCGTGCCCTCCCACTGGTGGGAAACTGTAGCCGCTTGTCGCATGGCGGCTCCGCCAGCCCACCCCGGGGACTGACAACCGTCTCTTCGGGGCTAGCAGCTATGCCGCAAACATCTTAGAAATATTTTAAAAATAACAAATGGTGCCGCAACTCGGATGATTCGCCCGCCCCGGACTTCCATCTGGGGCCGGAGTTCCAGCTTTAGGCGCCATCCGGGACTCCAAGCTCCCTCCCGGGGCAGAATCAGGACCTGAGGACCTTTTCTACAACGACCCATGTGTTCCATCTGCCTAGACGCAGCTCCTCCAAACAACAAATCAACTAATCGTGAGTGTCCCCATCTCGGCCAGCTTAACCATCTCTTTTAACCCAAGGGATTGATCATTGAGCTCCCAGCAACCCTTCACGGTTTCTAGGGATAGGGGAACCTCCAACCGCGGGCCTTCAGGGCCTCGGTTGTTACCTTTGCTGGCATTCAATTCGGCTTGTCTCCTGTGCTAAGCCCATGCCTGGGACAGCGTGGCCGTAGCCAGCCCCTCAGCTCACCCGTGCCTGGAGGCCCGGGGTCTCCAGTTCTCCCTCTTTTTCTCTTTTCATTCCTTTTCTTCCTTCTTTTCGTCGTCCATGGGGCATGCTGCTAAGGTGCGGCCTGACCTTGGCTGAATCCCTCCTGCCCCCGAGTCAACTCAGCCAGGTTATAGCACACACACACACACACACACACCCGCCCCGTGAAATCGGACGCCTTTTCACAGGGCCTGGGTGTTCGTGCCATCTGCATCTCGCCTTAACGGGGAGCCGTTCTTGTTGTAGGCTTGGGGTACCACGGTTTTTGCGGCTGTTTCCACGGCCTTGACCATGGGAGCCAAGCCATCCAGACCTATCACTCCAACCTCATGCTTTAATGCCTTACACTTATCCGTCTCTGTCCAAATAAATGGCCCCATTAAAACTATAGACGGCCATTTTGGGTTCCAGCCTTTTGCCCTTCCCCTCTGCGGCTTTTGTTATGGCATGGCGGCTCTCCAACAGAGCAGACTACACGTGGTCGCCATCTTGGCTGAGGGCCAGATGGGTCAGGTGACTTTTTCCGCCATCTTGACTGAGGGCCAGGTCACGTGACCACACTCTCCTGGTTTTACTCCGTTTTACCCTGCCTTCTCACCCAGTTTTCACTAAAATCCTCCTATTAACTCTGTTACATATGTTTTGAACAATGTCACATCTCTGATAGGGCCCATCAGAGTCGTCCACATTGCCCAATTCCTGTTCACTCTTTCTATACATAATAATACATATATTTTAAACTGGTATGTACCTTTACGTCTCTTAAGCTGTTCTCTACCATTGTCAGTTCCGCCACTAACCTTATATTACAAGCAGTTTTTTGCCCTCAACTGCTCAGAGATCTGGAAATGTGATATTTAAATATTTAATTATTAAAAACTTTTCACAACAACAACAACAACAAAGAGACAGGTTGGCTCCTAGCAGCACCTCTCTGCTCCCTCCAAAGAAGACAGAAGACAGACACGTACAGAACAACATCCTTCTGCATTTTGCTTCGACTGCAAAGTGCCGACCATTGGGCAAAACTGCCTTTCGTCCAAACCTCCAGATGTGAACGGAATCACAGCCTAGCTGCTCAGGTCGAGGTAGGCCTGTCTTCCTACAGATTTCTTAGCCCACAGGGTCTTCTGGAGCCTGCGCTAAACAGCACAGGTCAAGTGCAACCTTCAACAACCATGGGTGATCTAAAAAGAGTAGCTCTTGGTGCCAACCAAGTAAGTTCTCTGTCATTTTTTAATCAGTAACTCAAGTAAAATCTTATCCTTCTCAAAGATCTCTGACAGTTTGACAGCTGAGAGGTTTTGCAAGGTGACCTCACCAAACAAATTTCAAATCAAATTTATCTCTTATGCCACAGTCATTATATGTCTAAAACTTCTGTTTTCACAAACCCAAGGAGTTCTCATGAGTTCCAGGGAGCCAAATTAAGAAATCCATCTTAAACAGGTCAGATACCCCCTCAATTCCCTGGTCCTAACTTTTTTTTCCTTAATTTAACTTTGTTTTTTGTGCCACAGACACCGGTCAAAAGCAGAGAGCAGCTATGACAGGATGTGACCAGAACCCAGCCTTCTCTCGTGCCCCCCCAAAGACGACGCCTACAATCAGCCAGAAGCAGTCTTGAGAGTTCACCGCCCCAGTTCCTTTGGACTGTGGTGTCTGGTCTCCTGCTTTTATTATAAGGAAGACCTGGGAATGTTGTGCTTTCCCGTCCCTTTAAGGGACAAGCCACGCCCACTCCCATTACCTCTGACCTGCCTGCCGGCATGAGCACATGTTCTGTCTTTCTCTCCTTTTATCTTCTCTCTCTCTCTCTCTCTCTCTCTCTCTCTCTCTCTCTCTCTCTCTCTCTCCCTCTCTCCCTCTCTCCTGTAATAAATATTTTACCTTTATGCCTATCTTTTGTGTTTATGTGTCTGTTACCCACTGGTGGGAAACTGTAGCCGCTTGTCGCATGGCGGCTCCGCCAGCCCGCCCCGGGGACTGACAACAGTCTCTTCGGGGCTAGCAGCTGTGCCGCAAACATCTTAGAAATATTTTAAGAATAACAACAGGAGGGCTGGAGAGATGGCTCAGAGGTTAAGAGCACTGCCTGTTCTTCCAAAGGTCCTGAGTTCAATTCCCAGCAACCACATGGTGGCTCACAACCATCTGTAATGGGGTTTGGTGCCCTCTTCTGGCCTGCAGGCATACACACAGACAGAATAAATAAATAAATATTAAAAAAAAAAAAAAGAATAACAACAGGTATCCAGGCCAGCTAAGCTAGGCCTCACCTTTGTCCAAGGGAGGACAGGGGATCCCTATTTCTGTCCTGTTGAGAACTTAGAAGCACAAGAAAACCCCAGATTTGGGGTAAATTTCTTATCCATATCTGTGTGATTTTGTTGAGTCAGGAGAGGCTGTGGGGCAGCAGGGGATGGGAGTGGATGTAGCTCATCTACCCCGAGGTGGGTGTGAAGTGGGGACTTTAACTAGAGCAGAAGAAGGGATCACCTAAGTGTTACCGCTCAAGGCTCTTAAACCCTAACAGCCTGAGGTTTTGTTTAGGGAACTGGGGAGGCAGAGAGAAGGCATGGAGGCAAACTCAGTCCCTCCCGGGCTCCAGAGAGCAGAGAAGAGGGTGAGGCTACAGGCATGCCCCCACAAGAGAGCCGTGGAGGGGGGGCACACCCTCCAGTCCCCAGGAGGACCTTTTCTCCAGTTCTCGCCTGTCCCTCTGCCCCACAGTCCAGGATGACATCTCTCGGGTGTGAGCCCAGCTGGAAGAGAGGACCACAAGCCTGGGTTACTATGTGAGAGGGTTCCAGAACCTGGTAGGTAGTCCCTGTTAAGGCATCATGGGGTGGAGGCTCTGGCCTATGTCCCAGTTCTCGAGCTCCAGCATAAAAGGCTTGAGAGTGCTGTCTCTGTAGACTTCCCACTGATCTTGCCTTGGTTTTCCTGCCTAGGTACAGCTGGTGGGCACCCTGAATAGAGCAACAGAGTGCCTGGTACAGTTGACCCGGATGGGGCTAGGCGCTGTTCAGGCAGGTGGCCAGGTGGTGGCCACCTTGTGGGGCCAGGGTCAGGTCAAGCAAATGCTGATTGGTCACCTGCCGCTCTTCCTGGAGCAGCTGCGGCATGAGCTGGACTGTGAGTATAGGAGAGGGCACACCCTGCACTATGCTGCCCAGGGTCCCTAGGCCTGCACACCTGTCCTCACACCACTGCCTCAGTCAGAATGAACGTCTAATTTCTTTAGACCCCACACCTTATTTCTTAGGCTCCTGCAGCCTCTCTGCCCTTCTGACATGCTTTCTCCATCTTCGTAGGCTCCAAAGTAATGTCTATTGCCCAGGCTTCATCTGCCCTCCGCCTGGCTTCTTTCATGCACCCAGCCTTGCTGTGAGAATCCAGGGTCACCACTGGGTATCTGTCTATGAGCTCCAGCAAGGTTTCTGTCCTGGTTAGCACACAGCCCTGCCCTAAGGACCCTGCCCCCAAGCAAGCTGAGAACCTGGCCTCCCTACAATTAAGGAACGCTCTTGGTTCTCCTTCAGTCCCTAAGACCCTTGTCCAGGACTAAAGCAATCAGTGGGGACTTGTCTCTGCCCCTAGCTCAGAACTGGCTGTGCCTGAGTCCCTGTGTCGCTGACTAGGGACTTGTCTCTGTCCTAGCTCAGAACTGGCTATGCCTGAGTCCCTGTGTCAGTGACTGGCCAGGAGCACACAGATGTCCTCATGGCTATGACTGTCAACTGCAGGACAGGGTAAAGAGCAGAGTTGGTTACGGGGCAGGGGGCTGGAGTTCAGGAACCCTACATGCAGCATCCAGAGCCTCAACATGTCACACTGGATGCCATCAACTCCCCCTGGGTTGGACTGTAATGCCCACAGGAAGCATTTACCAGGGAAGGGCCATGTAGGTACACAGGGTTTCCACCAGCCTTGTCACAGGGCTTTCCAGCTGGGAGGCACACTTGCACAAACCAGGTAGCAGGCCCTTCCCACCAATTCCAGGCAACCAGGTCAGCAGTCCTAGTGTGCCCTCCCTTATTTCTACCCCATCCTTACTCCAGAGCACAGGCTCTATGTCCTCTAGGCCTGGAATGTTAGGCATGGCTGGCTTGCCTGGCTTACACTATAAAGGAAGGTTCCCATCTGCTTCCAGGAGCCCTGGGGCCTCACTCAGGGTGACTACCTATTGCAGAGCCTCTGGTCACACTAAAGGAGGCCTACTCGGAGGTGATGCTGCAGTTGCTGGATGAGGTGTGGTGAGAGGGGGCTAAAGAAGCCAGGCAGTGGCTACAGGCTTGGCTGCTCAGGCTGCCCTGGAGCTGGTGAGGGTGTGAGTGACAGGGTGAGGGTGGGGTTGGACTAATTGAGGGTGGCTCTGATGGTTGTCCCTGCCCCACCCAGGCCACCCACCATACACTGTTTCCTGGGCCCTGAGGCAACTCTGCAAATCCTTATGGAGCATGTACAGCTATTCAGTCAGGTAAGTGGGGGGGGGGGGCATGGGGACTTGTGGGTTCTGTATTCCTGCTACATGGCGGGACATAGCAAAGGGAAACTGGCCCATCTCACTCTTAGGACAACAATACCATACAGGTGGTCCTCTTCTGACAGGGGAAACTGAGGTTCAGGCTCTGCAAAAGCTCTGTTCATATTCTACTTGGTTTTGCAGAAGCCTTAGCTATGGGAAAGCCATTCTTGGCCAGCTGCATGGATTTGGTCTGGGGGGCAGGGTCCCAGTCCCTGGCCTATGTGTTAGGTGCCATGTGCTACTGAAAGCCGTGGTCAGCAAGTGGATTGAAGAGGAGGGGCGTGTGTGTGATGGTGAGGTTTGGCCAAAAAGGGGATCCCCATTTCTTGTGTGTGTGTGGTATACATTTCTGTGGGCCCACAGATGTGTGCACATGTATATGGAGGCTTGAAGCTGACAGAGTAATCTTTATTGTTTTTCCACCTTACTCATTGAGGCAGGCTCTCTCAATCAAACCCAGAGCTCACGGATGAGTAATCTTGTTAGCCAGTTTGCTTTGGAGACCATCTGCCTCACCTTCTGAGAAAGGAATTACAAGTGCCATCATGCTCACCCCGCATTCATATGGGGTTCTGACCTCCAGTCCTTATGCTTGTGTGGCAAGCATTTCGACCCAGGTGACTTTAAGCAGAGAATTCTGGATAGGCACACAAACGGTGCAGAGGCAAGTCTGGAGAACAGTGAGGAAGCCAGCAGGCCTTGGACAGGATCCTGGTGGCCCAGGGTCTTGGCTCCTGCTTGGAGATAGGCACACGCACCAAACAAGGGTTTTAGCCCAAGGAAAGGTGGTGGATCTGTGGGGGCCAGCCATGATAAGCTAAGTATGGGTAGGTCACCCAAAGGAAGTTCTTCCAACCAATATCACCTGCCAGAGTAGAACTCTGGCCATCGATAAATTTAATAAGAGGCCCAAGTCTCAGTAGTTTACCCTGAAGCAATACCTGGTTGCAGGAAGAACCACAAGCTGAGATTACCTGAGCACCACCCAAGAACAGACCATCCAAAGGAGATGCCTGGCATTCCAACTGCTGTAGTTAGGACCTTCTGCCTGCACACACTCACCAGAACACCCCTAGACAAATGTCAGCCAATCAGGGGTCCTGAACCTCAGAAACCCCTCACCCCCACCTCTACTACTATAAAAACCCAATTCTAACTGAGCTGGGGACTCTCCATTTATTCTAATACGTTGGACATGCGGAGAGACTGAGTTTGCAAACTTGCATAAAATAAAGGCTCTTTGCTATTACATATGGGACTCGGTCTCCTTGTTGGCTTTTACAGGGACTTCGGGGACTTGGGCATAGCAGATCATGTTGAGGATAGATTATGAAGATGGCCAGGGGGTAGGGCCCTATTTTGACAATGTGGCTGGGTATGTGGTTGCCGGGACAGTGGCGGCATGGAAGGGATGAGAGACAGCCAGAACACAGCTATGTTTAAGGTTAGCCTGGAGGACTGAGACTCAGCTGGTAAAAAGAGTGAGAGAAGCTTCCCAAGTATGTGGCCTCGGCAGCTAGAAGGATGATGGAGGTCCCTTTACAGATGGTGACAAGATTGAGTGGCTTCTGTACGTGTGTAACCAATGCTGTGTAACTAGAACTGTGGTGTCTTGAATTATTCTCACACAGCTCTGGAAGACTGAGGCAGGGTGCTGGCGCCTTAGGTGTTGTTGGGTGAGCAGGGATAAGCCTGGACAAGTGGCCGCACAGGACGCATAGGTAGGAGCCTCCAAGAATGCCTGCAGTTCCCTCCTGCTCCAGCAGGTGGCAGAATGGTGCCTCCTGGGTATGGAAAGCTTGGGCCTACTTGGTTGGACTCCTAGTCTGCCTCAGTTCACCCACTTGTAAACTTGGGACATGCCTCCTAGGAGAATGAATGGAGATACAGCTGCAAACCTGGCTGTGTAGGAAGAACGCTCCAGCAGATGGGACTGAGGGGGGTCTCTTGTGACAGTGGAGGTTTGTTCCTGTAGCTCTGTGGTGGCCGTGCCTAGGGCCCATCCCCCTTCCTACTGTAGCCCAGGGTTAGCTGCCTCCTTGCTCCTTCAAACCCCAGGTTTGCTGGGCTCTGTTCCACAGTCTGGGAAAGTTCTAGAGTCTTTTCGGTGCCTGTAGAAATCCCAGCGATCATTTTGCCCTTCCCAGCTTCCCTTTGGCTGAACCCTGTTCTGGCCCATTCGGCACCATCTCACTGTGCTTGTGTCCTCGTGACACAGCGCCCTGAGTGGGCTTCCCCTTCCTTGGTGTCCGTGCCCAACTCATCACTCCACTGCACCCTGGAGCAGGCCCTCGCTAGGGGATAGCCTGCTAATGTGACATCACCACCCGCCAGGGACATCCCAGCTGCATAGGGGGTCCAGCTCCTCTGTGTCCCTTCCAGGAACCTCTGCTACCAGCGGGAGATGAGCCCCTGGATGCGGGAGAAACTCCTGCGGCCACTCCGCAGCTGTCTGAGGCTAACGTGCTGGCTGAGTTCTATGGCTGCCGGCGGCATCTACGGAGGAGGCCCTTCCAGCCTAAGTCCTGCCTGGCCTGTCCACCTCCTCCCTGGGAAACCCTGTGCCCATGGGGCAAAGGGCCTAGTAAGGGGTTGATGACAAGCAGCCACAGGAAAGCCTGCCAAGCCCTCAGTCTCACAAAGTTCTGGGCTTGGTGAGGTCATCTGGGGCTACAGACCTTGGATTTTGTCCGGAATATAACGGGGAGTACACAGCTGCCGAGGGCGCCTTCTGAGGCCAGCCTTCTCCCAGAGGGCCATGAAGGAGCAGGCCGGGTTCCAGCTGGAGTTGGAAGGCGGCTCGCTGAGTGCAGGCTTGCTGGGGAGGCGGTGTCTGCAGCCTTTGGGAGGCCCTGGGAGGCCTGCATCTGGCTCACACTGCTGTATTAACTTCAGCCTCAGTTTCTTCCTGTGTGCAATAGGAAGGATAGCACGGCCGGCTCCTGTGGGCTCTATGCACAGCATCTGAGCCCAAAGCCTTCTACAGAGGAAGCCCAGCACCAGGCTGGTGTGGTTAGCACCCCTGAATGCAGAGACCCCAGACTTGGGAACACACTTGTTCCTGGGCAGGTTTACTTAGTGTTGAGCTTGCCTGGCCTCATCTCAGATTACGCTGTGGTTGCCGTACCAGGAACCTGGTGACTTTGATTGGCAGGTATGGGGCCTGGGTCCCTGCTGCAGCAGCTTCCTGCCAGCCAAGGACTTCACTCCCCAAACGTTCTTTCTGATGCTGAGCCGCACAGGCTTGGGGTTCATGGCCCTTCAAGTGGAGCTGAACCACACAACCCTCATTCTGTATCCCAGGGTGCGTGTGTGGGAGTGGGAGGAGCTTCTTGTCTACGTGGCCTAAAGGTTTGGTGCTGGGAATGATTCAGGCCTTACCGGTGTGGTCCACAGGCTTACAAGCTGTACAACACTGTCAGGCCTCAGGACAGCTGCTGGGACATAGACCCGCTTCCTACTATGCTGAGCACTGGGTCCCAGGTTGAGCTGAGCCGTGAATATGATGTGTCTGTCTCTTATGATGTGTCAGCAGGCCTCTGCAGCCTGACGCTGGGCCTGAGCACCACGGTGGGTCGGGGCTTGGTGCTGCCCACAAGGGCCTTCTTTGGCTATCCCATGGCCAGACTCCAGGGCTGAGGGTGATGTGTCCCTTCTCAGTAGCACCGTTCTTGGTGTCCCTGGTGGGGAAGAAGCCAATGGGCAAGAGGCAGAAATAATCCCGAAGGTTGTCTTTGCTGACTGGTCACTTCCCTGTTGGGGTGACAGTGACTGCTGGCCTCCTTTCTAGTATGACACAGCTGTCTACTTCTAGTCCTGGTGGGTCTTGTTCCGTTATAGATGACCCAGCAGAGGCTGAGTGACTCACTCCTGTTCCCAGGGCCAACATCTGGCCCAAGGTTTCTGACCCATTTTGGCTTTCTTCCCTGGGGACAGTACACAGAGAGAAGTCGGCTCTCATGAGGTCCCCATCATGCAGCTAGACCCCCAAGAGGTTCCCGGAAAGCTTGCTAACTGGCCCTGTGGTGGAAGCATTGCAAGGTATAGACACCATCTTCAGATCCTCTCCCCCGCCTCCGCTTCTGGGAGCTTGGAGTCCTGAGGAGAGGAGAGGGAGGCTTTCCCAGCCCAGTAGGTTCCTCCTGCCCTACAGGTACATTAGCTGGCCTTCTGGGTACCAACAATAAAGAAGCAGATGATGAGCTAATGCTGCCGGATGGCACGGAAGCTGCCGGCCTGGAGGAGCTCGCCCAGGCCTGGAAGGTAAACTGCGGGAATACCCTTCCCTAGGCTCAGTGGAGGACGGGTGCACGGGTGATGGGCAGGCTCAGTGATGGGCAGGCACGGGTGATGGGCAGGCTCAGTGATGGGCAGGCACGGGTGATGGGCAGGCTCAGTGATGGGCAGGCACGGGTGATGGGCAGGCTCAGTGATGGGCAGGCACAGTGATGGGCAGGCACAGTGATGGGCAGGCACGGGTGATGGGCAGGCACGGGTGATGGGCTGGCATGGGTATTGGGCAGCCATAGTGATGGGCAGGCACGGGTGATGGGCAGGCTCAGTGATGGGCAGGCACGGGTGATGGGCAGGCACGGGTGATGGGCAGGCTCAGTGATGGGCAGGCACGGGTGATGGGCTGGCTCAGTGATGGGCAGGCACGGGTGATGGGCAGGCACGGGTGATGGGCAGGCACGGGTGATGGGCAGGCACGGGTGATGGGCAGGCATTGGTGGACCCTGCCTGCCCCATTCCTCAGACTGTGTGTTCAGGACACCTGTGACCCCATGGAGCTGCAATCCGCTTTGTGCCCAGGACTCTGTGCCCTCGGCCTTTCCTCCGCAGTGTGATGGTAAGTTCTCACCTGAGCCCCATCCCAAATGAAAACCAACGCCATTCTCTGCGCTCCTGCTGGGATGGTAGGTGCTCAGTTCTGTGGTGAGCAGAGCCCTAACAAAGTGTGTGCAGAGCAGTTCTTACGAAGAAGGAGCTGTTGGCGGAAACAGGAGGAAAGCTAGTGTGAGATCTGCCTGCACTGATGTGTGGGTGCTGGAGAGATGGCTCAGCGGTTAAGATCACTGGCTGCTCTTACAGAGAACCTAGGTTCGATTCCCAGCACCCACATAATGGCTCACAACTGCCTATAAGTCCAGTCCCAGGGGAACTGATGCTCTGACTTCACAGGCACCAGGTACACTCATGGTACACAGACAGACATGAAGGAAAAACATTCATACATGAAAATAAAAATTATACAGTTTTTTAGAAAGAAAGCAAACAAGAACCATTAGGAGAGACAGCTTGGCTGATGAAGTGCTTCCCTACAATACAAGCACGGGCTAATCCCCCAGAATCGGGAGCAGAAATATGGGTGTGAGGTCGTGCTTGTCACACTCGGGTGTGAGGCTGTGATTGTCATACCTGAGTGTGAGACCATGCTTATTGCCGGGTGTGAGGCCGTGACTGTCACACCTAGGTGTGAGGCTATGCTTGTCGCACTAGAGCTGGGTGTAAGGCAGTGCTTGTCGTATTAGGGCTGAGGAGGCAGAGACAGGAATCCCTGGGGTTCACTAGCCGGCTAGCTTAGGCCTGCTAAAGCCCAAGTGGGCTAACTCTGGGCCACTGAGAGATCCTGTCTGGGGGCAGGGAGTGAGCTGCCTGAGGGCTAAAGGGGTAACACCTGACAGTAACCTTACTCCTACATGAGCACACACAAAGCCGCAGATGCAAAGGCCTGGCTGCCGCCAAGCCAAGTTTCTCAAGGCCCCTAAGGACCCTCTGAACCTTGTGCCTTCAGAACCTGTATTAGCTCTGGGGTGACACTGTGCCTGCAACCCTGGCACAGAGTGGCAGCTGACAGCACATTTGCTTCTTGATCCAACCTAGAAGTCACAGCTGCGGTTGACAGCAGTGGATACGCCTGGGACCGCCACATCCTGAATCCTGGATCTTCTTTATTTTGTTTGTTGAGACAGGGTTTCTCTGTGTAGCCCTGGCTGTCCTGGAACTCAGTCTGTAGACCAAGCTGTCTGAACTCACAGAAATCCACCTGCCTCTGCCTCCCTAGTGCTAGGATTAAAGGTGTGCCCAGAAGCCTGGGATTCTTAAAGGTATGAAAGAAGACATTCAAAGATGAATAGCATGTCAAAAGAAATTTCTAGACATAATGTAAGAGTCGGGTTAAAGTTCAAGTTAAAATGTAAAACAGCCAAAGAGAAAGTTAGTGAAATGGAAAATGTGACCTGGTGTGGAATGAAGACCCGGTGTTTAAAGGTGTGGAATGAGGACTTAATGTGCTCAACAAAGTGAGAAACCAAGAGCTATGAGGCTCTTAGTCGGCTGTCACCCTCCCCCCCCTCCCCTCCACGTTGTGCAGACTTCAAGGCAGCTGCCTGGCCCAGCTTCCCCTGGAAGTGAACAGGAAAGGGCAGAGCTTGTTTGCATTGTGCCTCCACTCACCCGGACTGCTGGGGGACTGTGTGCCTCCACTCACCCGGACTGCTGGGGGACTGTGTGCCTCCACTCACCCGGACTGCTGGGGGACTGTGTGCCTCCACTCACCCGGACTGCTGGGGGACTGTGTGCCTCCACTCACCCGGACTGCTGGGGGACTGTGTCCCTCCACTCACCTGGACTGCTGGGGGACTGTGTCCCTCCACTCACCCGGACTGCTGGGGGACTATTTTCTGCCTCACCCTACTCTGCACTCTGAATGCTGATGTAGTTTGGATGTCTGGCTGGAGGCAGAACTCTAGCTGGCAAGGGTAGCGGGCCACAGCGGCACCAGCTTCTCACAGCTGAGAACATCTAGAATTAGAGAAAAGGTCTGAAGGGCCCAACAGGCTGAGCCACGGAAGTCCTTCTTTATGCTTAAGACATGTGCAAAGAATGCAAATACTCCTGCCCATGAAAGGAGGGTGTCTCCACAAAGGAACGCCAGAGCCCCTCAGTTTCTTCCAAGGGTATTTAAATGCTGTTCTTGAATGCACAATAACCTGGAAATCAAGGTTAGACTACACACGATCAGGGAAATGAAAATAACAACAAAATGTCCAGAATTAAAAACTACAGAAACTAGATGGAAAGATTTGATGGAAGAGTTGAACAGCTGACCTGGGAGAATCTGCTGGGATAACCGATGCTGAGGCACAAAGGGGGAAAGAAAGGTGAAGAGGGGGCTGGGGAGGAGGCTCATGGGCAAAGCACTGACCACACAAGCAGAGGACCTGAGCTGATCCCAGGACCAACGTAAAAATCAGCCAAAGCCAGGCATGGTGGCACAGGCTTGTAGCCTCAGCACTGGAGACAGGCAGGTCCCTGGGGCTCCCTAGCTGGCCAGCCAGCCTCAGCTAGTCAGTGAGCTGGGTGACAGGCCCTCTACTGGAGTGGGGGAGGGAGGGACGGAGGCAGGGAGGGTGTTTGGCACCTGAGGAGGGATGCCTGAGGCTGACCTTAGGCCCTCACACTCAACATATGCACACACAAAGGACTTTTGAAGCCAACAACTAAACTTTATGCCTTCAGTTGTCAGGAAAGGAAAACCAAATCTAGATCTAGGAGAAGTAAATTCAGACTGAGCAGAAATAAGATGGGATATGAAAGAGAAAATGAGCAAAGTCCACAAAACAAACGTTTAGTCATACTGACTAATAAGAGAAGACTCGAATAACCAAGACCAGAAATGAAATAAACAATTTAAACAGACAGAACTACTAAGGAAATTGAACCAGTGATTTAAAAATCAAAACAGTCAGTGAGAAGACTCAGCGGTAAAGACCAGAAACCCAGGTCTCCCTTGGCTACATAGTTTAAGGACAGCCTGGGCTAATGAGACCCTGTCTCAATCAATCAAGAAAGAAAGGGATCCAGCTTAACTGAAGGACACTCTCTCCAGAGGTTGTGTGGAGTCCTCTTGGGGCTGTGCCCATGAGGCCCGTACTTCAGCAGCTTGATGTCCTCAAGTCAGCAGAGACGTCCTTCAGATGCTCTAGAACCAGGCAAACATCAGCAGCACCTTCACAGCCTGGATCCCCCAGTATTCAATTCCAGCATGACCTACGTTTTCTCTCCCCCTGTGCAGGCTCTGGCATATTCTCTGCTCCCACAGCCTCAGGTGCTGACCTTCAGCTCTTCCTTTGGCGGAGTATAATACTGTGTCTTCCACGTTGGCAAGGAGCCCTTGGCAGACACTTGCTTTGTGTTGGAGCATCTCTGTGGGTGGTTGAGTGCTTGGTGCCTACACACTGTCCCATGGTATGAGGGAACCACAGCCCATGCCCGCTATGCTTACAAAGTGGGGAGATGGTGATGGAGAGTGACTGTCCTTTTAATCAGGGCCAGGGCTACCAAAGAGACCCCGGGCACTTCCAGGAAATGGTAGGGCCTTCCTTCTAGGCATCACAGCACAACTTTTTTTTTTTTGACTTCTCTTTTCCTACAGTTTGAGATTTTGCCCAAGTCAACACATGGCCACCAAAGACGTCAAGCTCTTTGCCTTCTACCCCAATCCCAGTTCCTGGGCGAGGTCAAGGTTCTTGGCTGGAAGGCGACCACCAGTGCAGAATGCCAGGAACCCAAGAGGAAAAGCAGCACTTGCTGCCAAAAGCGGAAAGGGACCGGCCCCAAGCCAACGGCTCTGGGGCTGAGGGACTCCCAGCTTTCACAGCTTCACTGGATGGTGGCCAGTGAAGGCACACACCTCCGGGAAGAAGATCCTCGCCAGCACACACACTCACACAAGATGCTGCCTCATTCACCCCACAGAAACTGTTTCCAAAGCCTGAGCCTTGGGATGGCCCTGACCATGAGGATGCAAGGCTGCCTGGCACAGGCTTCCCTGCCACCCTGGGGTCTCAGAAGATATGAACTTCCTGGACGGGATCCATGGCTCCTCATGGCTTGCTCAGCTTGCAAGAAGAGGCCCTGATGAATATCTTTGATATCCACTTGATATTACAGAAGGATTAAGCCTTAAGAGTACAGAGCATAGGGGGCTGGAGAGATGGCTCAGTGGTTAAGAGCATTGCCTGCTCTTCCAAGGGTCCTGAGTTCAATTCCCGGCAACCACATGGTGGCTCACAACCATCTGTAATGAGGTCTGGTGCCCTCTTCTGGCCTGCATGCATACACACAGACAGAATATTGTATACATAATAAATAAATAAATATTTTTTTTAAAAAAAAAGAGTACAGAGCATAGCTGGGCGTGGTGATACATGCACTTGATCCCAGTACCCGAAGGCAGAGGCAGGTAGGTCTCTGTGAGTCGGGGCCAGTCTGGTCTACATAGTGTGCTCCAGGACAGTTAGAACTACATAAAGAGTACAGAGAACAGCCTAGAAGTATCGAATATATACATTATAAAGCCAAACGAGAAACTGATGTTTTCCTGCTCTAGCAGAACTGGACATAGGCTTTGGTGTAGCTGAATTCTAATTGGTCTTAATAATAAAAACCCAGAGTCAGATACAGGGGTTAATGCTAAAAGATCAGAGAAGTAGTGGAGCCAGCTACTAGTTCTTACCTCTATTGAATCTTCAGACCAAAGGGGCCATCCTGTCCCTCTGAATCCTCAGACTGAATGCTGCCTCTATGAAACCTCAGACTGCCCTGAGCTTCTGTCTCCTCCTGCCTTTTATTCCTCTCTCCACCCAGACATATCATGTCCCATCCATCTCCACCTCCCTAGTGTGAGGATTAAAGGTGTGGGGTCCCAGCACTTGGATCATCTTTGTGTGAGCCACCACTGCCTGGCTCTGTTTATCTTTTAGACAGATTCAATCTCACGTGGCCCAGGGCAGCCTTGAACTCACAGAGATCTGCCTGCCTCTGTCTCCTGTGCTGAGTGCTGGGATTAAAGGTGTGAGCCAATACTGTCTGGCTCTATGGCTAACTAGTGGCTTAGCTCTGCACTCTGATCTTCCTCCAAGCTTTACTTGTTAGACCACAAACAAAATGTCACCACTTTGGTCTAGGACTAGTCAGTCCATTAGTTTTTTCATCGCTGTAACAAACACCCGAGATAAAGGACTCTTGAGGAGGTAAGGATTGTCTGTCCTGTGGTTTCAGTTTCCAGTCCCAGCCTTGTGTTTTCAGCTGTGGTCAGGCAGAACTTAACAGTGCAGTGTGTGGGACAAGCGCTCACCTCGCAGAGGCCCGGAAGCAGAAGACAGAGGGAGGCCTGGGAGGTCCCCAGGCAACTGGCTCCCTCTCACCAATGTCTCCACTGCCTTTAGAGCCTTCAACAAATGATGCTTGGAGACCTTTAAAATCCAAACGTGGCCAGATGTGCTGGCACACACCTTCAAGCTCAGCATTCCAGAGGCAGAGGCAGGCAGGTCTCTGTTGTTCAAGCAAGCATGGTCTATATAGAAAGTTCTGGTATTCTGTCTCACAATAAATAAGTAAATAAATTCCAAACCATAATAGTCAGCACAATTCACCTGTTAGAAAGAAGAAATACCAGGCTGAAGAGATGGCTCAGTGGTTAAGTGTGCTTACTGATTTTGCAGGACATGCTTTCTATTCCCAGAACCAAAATGATGGCTCATAACTGCCAGTATTTCCAGTTCTAGAGGATCTGAAGCCGTCTTCTGACCTCCCTGAGCACCAGGCTCACATATGGTACAAGTATATACATACATACAGACACTCACATATACATGTAAAATAAAAATAAAACTTAAAAAGAGAAATGTTGATATTTTCAAAAATTACATTTATGTATGTGTGTGTGTATAGAAATCAAACTCAGGTCATCAGGTTGGTGACAAAAGCCTTTACTCTGAGCCATCTCCCCGGGCCACAATGCTAGCATTCTGTGGGGGAAGGTAACGTCGCCTAGAATCTTTACAATCCAAAATCACAAATGCGTGAGATGGGCAAGCAGAGAGCCATGGGTTGTCCGCTTGTTAAAATTAACAGACATTGAAACATGCTAAAGAATTTACTGGCAAAGTGATCAAGACAAAGAAAAACATTTAAAAGAAAGAAAAAGAGAAGATGAAATTTAAAAAACCACAAACATAATATTTGTACTTTAAAAATGTTAACAGAACAGAAACCTGCTGGGTGGACTTACAAGAATGCACCTGTGGGTGAAGGCGGGACACTGGTTATTTAAGGAAAAAAATTTAAAAGACACAGAACTAGACAAAGAACAAATGTATAAGTAAGACTTGGTGAGCCTTGAAGGACAATCACACTGTCTGAAACACGTGACCGAAGCCACAGATACTGGCAGAGAATAAGGCAGAACACCTGAGAAGATAATAGCTAATAACTTACCAAAGTTGACAAGAAACATCATTCATAGATCCTAAAAGTTTAACAAACCCAAACGGGACTGAAAAAAAGACTATATCCAGGCACATCGCAATGATCAAATGAAAACATGGAAGTTTTGATGTTGCTGTTGTACTGATTTTTAGTACTAGGAGGCAGAACTTGGGGCCTTGTGGGGCCAAGCAAGCGCTCCACACTCAGCACATGCTCAGGCCTGAGCATTTCTTTTCCCCTCATTCTGAGACGAGATATTACTAACTGACCCGGGCTAGCCAGGAGCTTGCTCTGCAGCCAGGCGAGCCTTGAACATACGATCCTCCTGCCTTACCCATCAAGCATCTGAACTTAAACCTAACAGAGGATTCTGGAGCAGGGAATTCAGTCAGCTAAGAACTGTGCAAGTACAATGAACCTGAGTTCAGTCCCCAGGAAGTGTGTAAAAGAACCCAGCACAGAGAAACATGTTAGCAACTTCAGTGTTGGAGGTGGACACAGGCAGTTCCAGGGCCTGACTCACTTGCCAGCTTAGCCTCGGTGAGCACCAGGTGAGCCAGGTGAGCACCAGGCCAAGGTGATGGTGCCACAGATGCGACGTTAGAACACACACCATCAGCAAGGCCATCATGACAGCAAAGTCCTCATAAAAACAGCAGAAGAGGGGCTGGAGAGATGGCTCAGTGGTTAAGAGCATTGCCTGTTCTTCCAAAGGTCCTGAGTTCAATTCCCAGCAACCACATGGTGGCTCACAACCATCTGTAAAGAGGTCTGGTGCCCTCTTCTGGCCTTCAGGCATACAGACAGAATATTGTATACATAGTAAATAAATAAATATTTAAAAAAAAAAAAACCAGCAGAAGAAGGAAACAGGGAGAGGCTGTCAACCTAACAGTCAACTCACACGCATTATCTGAGGTTAAAGCAAAAACGGACTGAGGAGTGCGGAGAGAACTCCTCAGCCCAGCAGTCAGGGGACATGGGAAGAGTTTGTTCTATCAAAGGTGGCTAGCCTGCCAAGTGCCAACAGCCCATAAACTTCCCTGTCCTGAAACCGTTGTGACTGTCACATCCTTCCCATGTGTGCCAACTAGTCAATCAAGTCAGACTGTGGGATGCAGCTGACCAATGGGATGAGGCACAATCACTACCTGCATCAGAATAAAAACTAGCTCAACTCCGCCACCCCGGAGTGTGTGCTTGCTCACTAACCTGTTTTTGTTTTGTTTGCAAAACCCAATCATCCTATCTGGTTACTTTTACTTTATTAATGTATTTTCTTTCTTTTTTGAGGGGTGGGATGGGTGGGGGTTCAAGACAGGGTTTCCCCATGCTGCCCTGACTGTCCTGGCTCTTGCTTTGTAGACCAGGCTGGCCTCGAGCTCACAGATCTGTCTGCCTCTGTCTCCCAAGGGCTGGGATTAAAGGTGTGTGCCACCACTGTCTAGCTGTTCATGTATCTCTTGGTTTAACACCAAGAATATCCGTTTACAACAGAAGGCACACTGCTGCCGCTCCAGAGAACCTGAGTTGAGTTCCCAGCACCAACACTGAATACAGATGTCTGAAACTCAAGTTCCAGGGATCCAACACCCTCTTCTGGTCTCTATAGGCATTTCCATGTATGCGCACAAACCCAAACACAGATAATTTTAAAAGGGAGGAGGGATGATGTAATTCAGTTGGTAAAGTGCTTACCTAGCATTCATGAAGCCCTGAGTCCAACCTTAGCTTGGCAAAAACCAGAAGTAAACTCAGGCCGGGCAGCGCGGCACATGCCTTTAATCCCAGCACTAGGGAGGCAGAGGCAGGCAGATCTCTGTGAGTTCAAGGCCAGCCCGGTCTACGGTCTACAAGCTCGTTCCAGGACTGCCAGGGCTGTTACACAGAGAAACCCTGTCTCAAAAAAAAAAAAAAAACAAAAAAAACCCCAACCCAGGTGTAAACTCGTATTCATGACTGTAATCCCAGTACTGAGAAGGTAGCGGCAAGGTCAGAAGTTCAAGGTCATCCTCAGCTTCACAAAGAGCTCAATGAAGCCAGTGTGGGCTACATAAATGAGCCTATGTCTCAAAAAGGGCGGGGCAAGCAAAATAGAACATTAGACCAACTTGAGAAAATGCACTTGGTGGGAGGGATGCTAAGATAGATATGTATTTATAAAATTTTATTTATGTATATGAGTGTTTGTCTGCATATATGTCTGCACACCAGAAGAGGGCATTGGATCCCACGGGGCTATAGTTATAGATGGTTGTGAACTTCCATGTGCGTGCTGGGAATTGAACCCAGGACCTCCAAAAGGACAGCCAGTGTTTTTAACTGCGGAGCCATCTCTTCATCCCCTAAGAATAGTTTTCATGGGGGCTGGAGAGATGGCTCAGTGGTTAAGAGCGCCGTCTGCTCTTCCAAAGGTCCTGAGTTCAATTCCCAGCAACCACATGGTGGCTCCAAACCATCTATAATGAGATCTGGCGCCCTCCTCTGGCGTTTGGGTATACATGGAGGCAGAAAGTTGTATACATAATAAATATATCTTAAAAAAAAAAAAAAGAATAGTTTTCATGGTGAAGACAAAGGATCCTAAATATGTTAACCAGCCCCTCTGCCATCCTCCCTTCCCTGTGAGAGGACACCAGTGGCCCACTG